TTGAATCATTATGTGCTTATATTTTAAGACATTTGAAGACACAATAATACACACACAAAAAATCTTTATTAGAGTTACTACTTACCAAACTCACTTTGTTTTGTAATACTGCCTATTTTATGCAACTTAAAAAAAAAAAGGTGGAAGTAAAACATTAATGTTTATCTGCACCAAATTTTAAACTTTTGTTTAAAATTTAAATTCCAGTTTAAAATTAAGCTCCAGTTTTCAAACTTCACATTTATAACGATTCTATTATATTCTTATGCCACAAAGAAAACTTCTTGCCCTACTCCTACAAAATGTGACTGAAAAGGAGAAGAAATTCATCCAAGTGAATTCAGTATTTTCTATCTAACACCTTTGAATTACCTTGTTCAGACATGGTTTTTTGAGGTTTAAAAACATTATCCCCTTATATAGAATTACATGCTGTGATTTCCAGCAGGATAACCTCACAGCAAAGAAAAAAGATGCTTTTTTTCACTCCAGTGGGCACCTACCCAAACAGTTCCAATTGCATGTACTGCCACAAAAACAGCAAGTAGCAAATCTCCTAGCAGACACCCAGTTTAATTAAATTAAAAAAAAAAAAAAAAAAAAAGGTGAGTTTTTACATTTTCCTAGACACAAACATAGTCACACATATGGGTATTAAAAGTATATCATAAAACTATTAGTTTATCTACTGACATTTAGACTTTTATATAGCTTTTAAAAAGGATTTCTTGAAATTCCCTTTTGAAGAAAAAATGATTCTGTAATCCAAGAAGTGTTCTCTGTAGAACAGATACTAAATTTCATAAGTAGAAATGCTGCCCTGAAAGGTAAGTGGATAGAGATTCTATTTTCAGATTAAGATTCTCAAATCTTAACTGCTTTTGTGCATTTTCCCTCAGTTTCTCAGTGGTGCAGATACTCCTCCTTTGTTAATATGTGTTTGGAGATTCAGAGTCAGCAACATTATCTCAGGTTGTCAGCGAACCCCCTCATTGTATTTTAAAGTAAGTTTAAAAATAATTGTAAGTCAAGATGAGCTACTCCATTTTTGATACAAGCAGTTTTATGGGGAGAAGAATGTAATTGTAAAACACATTTCTAGAGCTGCTAACGTGACTCTTCTAATTGAAACTGCTGTGCTCAATACAGCAACCCTAAATTTTTTTCATGTGTTTGCTGTAAAACAGATAAAAAGCAGATGCAGAAATCTTGCAGCTGTTTCAGTTTACTTGTAAAGCTGACTGCCATCCAGAGGCAGCAAGTTTAAAGTGGTTTCAGCTGCTTACACTGACCATGTAGTATTCATCTGTTAGTCTCATCATAGGCAGGATTCTAAGATTTCTAGATGTGTAAACTTGAACCTGGGGAAAACAATTACTACTCTAGAAATTTTATCTGGGAAAAATATTTTCATAATTTTTCTGGGTAGGTCTATAAATTGGTCTTATACTTTCGCTTTAAATGATTTTATAGAACTTTTGGGATTAGATTGTGGTGGATTGGAGATTGGAGATGTGGTGGATTGGAGATTACTACACAGAACCAAGAATTTGTTTTCTGTAAGATGTTTTTCTGTTCTACATGAGTCTTCTTTAAAAAAACTACATAAATTATACTAAGGCATGCATAAAAATGAGAGCAGTTACCTGATAAACCTTAAAGGCATAACAATGGAAAGGGGATAAAAGCCACTTCTTGTACTTGGGAAGCACTGTGGATCTGCTGGAGTTTAGAATAAAGTCTGTTGTCTTTGAAATGTTCTGAAGTTAACATTTTCTGCTTTGTCTGTATTTGAAAGTTAGTTCAAGTTAATCTGACGTGTAAACATGTCAGCAAACTGGAACATGTGTCTGAACACAAACAGAAAACAGGAGTATCATCAGCAGTAGTTTGTACCTGCAGTCTACCATGAGTAGTAGGAGTTGTCATTTGAAGATTATGCCTCTTGATTAATTTGCAAGAGAAGGAACATTCATGCTGAAGAAGAGAAATTGGTTTCCTGTGTTCTGCATCACTAGTCTACACAAAACACTGATATCTTGGTTATACAATACGGAAAGTTACTGTGTATGAGAACAAATTTAGGTAGCACAGGCTATACAAATATATTGGCTTTTAGTGGCATTTTCATACTGCATTCCAAAGAGCAGTCAAAGAAAAATACTTTAAGGGATATTATTGAACAAAGTTATAAAAGCCTTGAAAAAAGTCAAGATAAACAGTATTTGCTGCTTTCCCCATACTCATGAGCCAGTCATTTCACAGCAGCAGGAGGCTACCAGGTGGTCAGACACAGTTTTCCCTTTATAAGTCCATATTCACAACTCCCAGTCTTCTTCTTGTCATCAGCAAGCTTGAAAACGGCTGTCAGGGGAATTTGCTCCAAGACTTTCCCAGGGACTGAGGTGGGGCTGATATCCCTCTAATTTTACCAATGCTCCTTTCCTGCCCATCTGCAATCTAGGGGTGACATTCTCCTCCCCAAACACCGTGACTTTGAAAGATAATTAGAAGTGGCCACACAGTACATTGGCTAGATTCCTCAATGCTCACAGAAACATCCCATCATGTTCTGTGACCTTGCATGTGAACAATTCCTTTAACCTGTTCTCCTCAGCTATGGGTACATCTTCTTTGCTCAAGCTTTCTCATTAGTTTCCAGGGCTTTAGATTTCCAGAGGCAAGTATTACCAGTGCTGCAGGAGTTGTTGAATGTGAAGTTAAATTTCACTTCTCATAAATTGCTTAAAACTTAGAACTATTTTATTTTTACCAAATAATGGTTAGCTCTGTGGCTAATGTTATTTTTGAAGCCTTTAAGGTTTCATTTAAGGGAAGCTGATGAAACCTTCTAATGCTTCCTTCTTTTACCTCATGTGATTTTGATTCCCTCCCCCTGCAAAGTGCAGCAAATGCCAGAGATGTCCACCTCTATCAGACCACCTACTGTCTGCTTAAAAGGTGACTTTTTGTAATGAAAAGACTTTTCTCCTGATCCTCTAAAACAGCTTTTACTGTAACTTCCCTCTGAATTACCAGTATTTTTCTACTGGTACTTGCAATTAACATTACCCAGTAAATGCTTTTTAATCCTTATTGGAAGATCACAAAACACAGTCAGACAAATGGTTAATAGTCACTCTTGTTTAACGGCTTCACCATTTTACATTTAGGTAACCTGAAATTTAAGTTTACCTCCAAAGAGCCTGCGTAATTCCTTGTGTTTTGCTAATTAACCTGACAATCAAGGTGGAAGTGAAGGAATTTATTTACATGCACAAATGCAGTTAAGAAAAGTAAAAACATCTGAGCAAAATTGAATAGTAACTTGTACACATATTAATTCGCTTTGATTACAGCTAGTTTTCTCTAGGCCTACAGCAACTACTAAGATCCAGGTCTGTTAGCCATTGAGTAGAGAGATGATGTTTGGGCACTGCTTGTACAATGATTCCCTTTCTGCATGTCTTTTCTTTTTATTTAACTTTTCTTTCTCAGTAGCTCGGAGGGTTTTTATTACAGGAGAGGGAGTAGCTCCTTAACACTTTAAAATTTTGAATGGTTTTACTAAAATAGTCATTATTTGCTCTCAACCTTTCAGTGGCAGCACGTGTGATCCAAGCATGCTTTCAGCATTAGATTTTTGGGGGTCTGGGATTGATGTGATTTTTTTTTTGCCTATTCTTCTTGAAATACAAATTCATTTATTTTTCCAAGCTAATTTTGTACTGTGGCAGGGACTGATAATTACAAAATTTAAACACTGTTTTTCTTGCTTTGTTTTCAGAGTGCAGATCAGTAGCTCAGAATTTTTTATGTACTGTTATAGGCTTTATCTGAAGGAGGGTACTGCAGTCAGTTCTGACAAGACAAGGCTCTTCCTTGTGAATTTTAAATTTGTTCATTTTTATTTTGGACCCTCCGCTAAGAGTTGCAAGGAGACTGGATAAGAATATTCATAGCAGAAATACCTTCTGCCTCTCTGCTAACCATCTTTGGATAAGATGTACTAGTGAAAGCATAACAAAATTCTATGTAAGGTTCCTATTAGTAGAATAATGGTATCTGTTTCATTTTCCACAACATATAAAAAAATGTCTGGAAGTTCCAGTTAAACTTCTCTCAACTAGAAGCTACCACAATGGCTGAATAAAAGGGATTTAAAAAGCATTTTTGTACTTTTGGAATATGGATTCAATTTAGAAAGAGAATATGAGTGCACTGATAATGATTTTGAAATAAGCCCTATCTGAAACATATGCATAAACGTACTTATATGAAATGCATCTCCGACAATTGCTTAGAATTACATTTCTGTAATGTAATGAGCATCAATAAAGAAAGCACTACCCAGACTTATCTATGGAGATTCTGTAACAACTGACCTACTTGTTCAGGGAACTGTTACAAATTTGCAGTATTTTTCAACCCGGATAGCTTCAAACATACTTCAATCTCTTCTCAGCTGGGGAATGGAAAATCTTAGAAACTGCCGGAAGCCTTAAACCTTTCAAGTGCCAAGATGCACAGCTCCGTATCACTAGGAAAGAGTGCAGTTTGATCCTTAGTAGTGATAGCCCACACATGAAGTGCTCAGCCTCATTTTCTCCAGCCAATGTAATCTTTAAGGAATTGAATTGAAACTTGAATTACAACTGCAGGCAAGATAAATTTAATTGGGATAGCGTTGCAGTCAATTTATAACAGAACTATTTACAATCCGTTCTATTACGGCCCCTTCCTGTTTAGACAGAGGGTGTGTTCAGAGGTTTATTCCCTAGAGTGATTAAACTGTCTCTTACTAAACGCGGCGACCAAGCGCCCACTTAAAGGGAAGTCTCATTTTCCTCCGGGGTCTCGCCCCTGAGGGGCCCGAGCTGCCCACGGGGTCGCCGCGGCAGCCCCTGCCTCGGCGCGCCTCAGTAGCGGCCGCCGTGCGCGCGCAAAGAGCGCGGCAGGGGCGGCCCCTCACGGGCCACGCCTCTTCCTGGGCGGGGCCCGGGTTCCGCGCCGGTCCCGCCCTACGCACGGCGGCCCGACCGGCTCCATATGAGGTGGCTCCTGGGGAAGCGGCTCCTGGGGAAGCGAGCGATCTCCACGCCGCGGGCGGGCCGGAGGCCTCGCCGGCAGGGGCCGCCAGTCCCTCCGAGAACTCTTCTGGGAGCGATCGAGTGTACCGCTAGAGCGCCCGCCCGCAGCGCCGCTCCGGCCGGTGGCGCGCGCCCCTCTTGGTGGGCGGGCCCGCGCCCCCGGGTGCGCGCGGTAAGGCTGGGCAGGCGCCGCCATGATGAACAGCGGCGGTATCGGGGTCCCGTTGGGCTTCCCCCTGGGCCCTACGTCCGTCATCCAGGTCACCAACCTCTCCTCGGCCGTGACCAGCGAGCAGATGCGGACGCTCTTCGGCTTCCTGGGAGATATCGAGGAGCTGCGTCTTTATCCCCCGGAGTAAGTGGGGCCCCTGCCGCTCTCCGCAGCTACGGAGCCTAGGGATGAGGGAGAGGCGCGTAGGGGCCGGGGGGTAGCGGGAAGGGCAGGGGCAGGAGGCTAGCGGCGCCATTTTGAGTGCGGGCACCAGGGGAATGTCACGTGGTTCCCCCCCTTTGTATGGTCGGAGCTGCGGAGAAGGAGCTGCGCCCGCACTTAAGATGGCGGCGCCGGCCCTTTTCCCTCTTTCCTAAAACCCGCTTTCTGTAGCTTGTCTGGCTCCTCGCCCACGCTGGTTGCAGGCGAGCTAGACCGGGGAGTTCCAGGCCCGCCTTCGCCCGACTGCCTTTATTCTTTTTCTTTTTTCCCCTTGTGTGAGAAGGGGCTGTTCGAACAGCAGCCAGAGTACCTGAGGTTTTGTAGCGGGCAGAGGAGGGAACCTGCCCTGCCTCGGAGTTGCCCCCAGTAAGGCTTGTGCAGTAAATTAATCCCAGGCGTCACATCGCTCGCTAAATTATAGCGGTTCGTGGTGTCAGCGGCGTGCGAGGGGTGCGCTCAAGTGGGAGATGCAGAGGTTGCCTCTCTCGAGAAGGTGATGATCAGCAGTAAAGGGGAGGAAATGAATTTTTTTTTTCTCTCGAGGCAGCAGTTGTCCTGGGAAGCGAATAATAAATGCGCTTAAAAAATTAAATCGGACTAGTGGAAAGGAGAGGGCATTATTAGCATCCCAATACGTGAGCTTTGATACAAAAATGCGCAGGCTAATAAAACTTCGTTTTGCAAAAGAGAAGAGCCAAAAAAGTTGGTGTTTATTAGTTTTTATATAGCTACATAGCATCTGATTATGTTTGAATGCCAACCATTCAGAAAAAATAACCACTTAATATGTAAAGATATGCTTAAAATGAGATATGCCTTACTGATATCTATATGGTGGATTTTTATACTGTTTTCTAGGGCTTTGTCCTGGACTTGTTCCACAGTTGGTTCTTTATATTTTTAGTTTTCTCGTGACTGAATTTGGTTTTTTGTTACAGCTGTTGTTCTTGTCTTTCACTAGGTTATATAACAGGTTTTAAGGGAAATGGGGACGTTCTTGACATTCATATACAGATAATTTCTGTACCAATATACAATTTTGTCAGGGTATATATACACATGAAATACTAAAATCCAGTACCATAATAGGGAATAACTTGGGAATGTCAAGGTCATGACGCTGATTAATTCACTTTTCAGAGATAGGATGCGGGATTGTGATTACCTGCTTTACTCTTGGTTTTATTTACTGTTATTTATGCATATATGTTAGAAGTGAGGCACTTCTCTTGCCGCATACTTCTGGACATTTGAACTGATATCCAAATAGCTACCTTGGGAGAAAACTAAGTATGCCTAAAAACTCTAATGCCTTTCCTTAGAACCAAAAAAAAAAAAAAAGTGCCTCCTGTTGACTTTCTGAAAATGTATTTAAATAACGTTGTGATAAATTCATAAAGTAATATTTGGTTGACAAGCGGCTGGGAGGTGAAGGTATCCCAAACAAAACATAGATCACTATCAGTTTGCAATACAGTTAAAAACTGAAGCTGGTTTGCAGGATGTGACAGGTCTTTTTGCCTTGATGTGTACTCCAGTATGCTAGCCACTGCCCCAGCCTAGTGGTGTTTTCAGTTTAGCAGGAGACCAGTGATACCTGTAATTGGATTCTTAGTCCCAGACATGCACAGACAGTCCCATACACTTGTAAAGCAGTTAAAGTTTGCCTTTCAGAGTAGGCCTCAAAATTACATGTGTAGCAGTGAGCATTCAAATGTGACCTTAGAAAGATTTTTGAACAGTTAAATGTTGAAAAACTTACTGAGCAACAATTGGGTTTTGGCAGAATGAGTTGTTTGGAAGCCAGGAGTTGCAAACTGTCTCTATTAGGTGTGTAATACTGCTTGCTACTGAATAGTCTGGAGTGGTCTTGACAGCTAGAACTCTGTTGGAGAAAAAACTTTTGATTTAACAAAAAGTTGGGTGATGGACTGGTTTGTCATAGCCCTTCCCTAGTCAAGGGCGAGACTGGATTGGCCTCCGTGTTCTGCAACCAGGAAGTTCTGCTCTGGTTGCAACCCAGCAGGCCTTGAGAGATGGAGACACATGCCATACCAGACCTTGGCAATGGGGTTTGGAGCCTAAAAGTGTTCTCTTCATGAACCAGAGTATTTGGACAAAGCCTAGTTTAGCATTGAGGGCTGCCACCCAAGTCAATCTCACTTGTATCCCTTATCCATTTTGGCACAGGTGGATGGGCCACCTTCACTTAAAGGGACATCTCGTCTGAGAAAAAGGGTTGTCATCAGTATAGTCCAATGAAAAGAATTGTTATATCCTGCAGTGACAGCAGTGTAGGTGAGACTTTTGAGTCAAAACACACAGAGCCTTATTTAAACTGATCTGCACAATTAATCCATAATACTCTATTTTAATAAGTTATTAATTTCTGTCATATCTTCCACACCTCACACACCCCACCTCCCTGCCCCACCACCCCACCTCCTTGCCCCACTTGAGAAAATTTGGACAGTTGGAGAAATGTTTTATAGCCTTTTTTTTCTTACTACCATGGATTTCTGAAAAAGTCCTTCTTAGGTAATACTTTGGTTGATTTTTATTCTGTTAGGAGATGAATGTTGCTGTCTTTCTACAAAGTGAGACAAAAATGGTAGAAATGTCCCAATACTATTTAGATATTTATTTCCTCTTAATTTTTTTTTTCTAAAGAGACTAACTGAATTTTAGTAACTTTGAATCAGAGATATACAAGTTGCTTTTTGACGTCAAGGCTGTGTTACCTAGGAGAAAGATCACGAGTCTCCCTCAATTCAGCCTCAGTAAAGGCTAGCAAAATAAAGGTGACAAAAGGAATTCGAATAGGACTTGAATGTTTTAGCAAAATGTCCTCTTAAAAAGGCTGATGGGAAGACTTTTGAGGCCCCCTTCATAAAAAGAGAGAACTCAATCACTGTTCAACCTTCTAAAATTTTAGATCTCTTGGTTCTTAATGGTTTCTCTTGAGGCAACTTTGATGTGTTTTTAGTAGAGAGCGACACGTTGTAGAGAATTTCTCCTTTCTGACCTCTGGAAAGCGCTTGGTATCAAGAAGTCTTTGTATGGCCTCATTTGCACCAGTGTTCAGACAGCTTATATTTAACATATTGTCCACATAGCTTTTGTGTTCTAAATCAAGGAATACAGGAGAGTAAATCTTACAAAAACACGCTTGATAGTGCAGGCTCTATAGATGTTAAAATTTATAGGGATTACTGGGGAGATCTGAAACTGCATGGAGCAGAATTATATTTTTGAGTTGGCAATGAAAGCAAAAAAGGAAAAAAAAGTCAGGAGATATTAGAAGTCTTCAGCAGTGTGGACCATAGAACCTTCAGTGGTGACTTCAGCCATTTGGGTTATAATACTGAGGGATATATCTAAAGAGAGACAAGCAAACACCATACAGTGATGACAAGAAACTCCAAGACATGAGTTCCTCCCTTCCCTTAGAGTCCTCTCCCCCACCAAACCAAAGCAAATAAAGAAAATACTTTGTGGTGCTCAAAGAATCTCTAGAGTACTGAAGAAGTCATAGCTGGCTGTCACCTCTGAGGCTAGAAACTCAGAGATCTCAATGGAGATCTTACAGCTAGCTCCGAAGCTGGTCTGTGCAGTTAGTTCCTTCCTGAGTGTGGAAACTTGAAATGGTAAAAGCATTATCCACCACAAATAAGTAAAAGTGAGCAGAAGTGCAGTCAATCTTAAAATGTTTCTCCATATTGTATGACGTTTCTGTCTCCCACTCTCTGTTTAGTTTTTCTTCCCCTATGTTGTCTTTTCTTACAGAATTTTCCATCATAGATGTTTCTGAATGCCATTCTGAATTTGGCCATCTCTAGATATTATGCATTTGTGCTTCTGTCCTGGTAGCCAGAAACATACTACTCTGCCTGCTTGAGGCTTACATTTTTGGTTTATTCTTATAATTAATATGATGAAATAATGTGTCTAAAACTTCTGATTTGTATTTAAATCCTGAAATCTAATAGAATTTCATAGAATAACTGGGGAAACACATCCTTGGAATTCGAGGGGACTCCAAGATGGGTTGTGTTAAACTTGAACTGCTGCTGGTGATTCCAGAAATTTGGCAAATGTTTCCATTTTGGTTGAGACAGGACCAGGGTGAAACCGTCTGTGTAGCGTTTTTTCCATGATTTCAAATGAATCTGCTGATATTCCAGGAATACAGTATTCTCTCTTTGAGTATTTACCGGTACTTCCTTCATGCGAAGAAGTAAGCTGCTAATATAAAGGTTACAAACCTTGACTAGGGAATCCGTTTTTAATGCAAACTTAGTTGTTTTGATCAAGATTGCAATGTTTCCGCATTTTCTCTTGGCATACAGTGTAATGGAAAAGTGAATTACAGATTTTCTTCCCTTTTGTAGCCATATGGTGTGGTGCTCCTACTTCCTCCAATGGTTCTCCATGCTACATTGTGCTGAACTTTGGCAAATGGTTTTTGTTACCTTAGTCAGCTAAGACGCAGTATTTGAAAGCCCTCTCAAGAATTGTTTTTATCTTTGTAAGAATTAATAAAACTACTTTGGTGAAAGCCAGAGAGAGAATATTGATTATTACAGACTAGTATCTGAAGTGGCTTGTTGTCTTTCCTAAAAAAAAAATTTTTCAGGGAAAAAACAAAGATAAACTATAAAATATTTACTGGCAATTGTAATTGTCAAGTAAGTATGCTCCTTCAAATAGTAATTTGAAATGTACTATTCAGTGTTGTGTAGCCAGTTAATATAAGAAAATTACTCTTGTTAATTAGTGATTTTGGCGTACGTAAGTTTTCTTTGAAAAGTTGCTCTATCTTTTTTCACTGATACAGCAAGTGGCAAGTTGGTAGATTTCTATACTTTAGGCTTCCTTTTCTATGAAAAAAATCTTTTTTTCCCTAAGGAGTAATAGTTAAAAATATATCCATACAGTTATGACTAATTGTTATTTTTTCCTTTTATCTTGCAGCAACGCACCTCTTGCTTTTTCCTCCAAAGTATGTTATATAAAGTTTCGTGAAGCATCAAGTGTTGGTGTGGCCCAGCATCTAACTAACACGGTTTTTATTGACAGAGCTTTGATAGTTGTGCCCTGCGCAGAAGGTTAGTATTTTAGAAATTCTTCTGTAATGTTGGTCTTTGTTGTATTTGTTAATTGTTTTAAGCTTTCTATGTAAGGTGATGCTCTGTTGTTGTTTTACTTTATTTGATTGCTTTTTGGAAAAAAAAGCCTTGATACAAAATTGAAAACTGAATGAAAAAAGCCCCAGTTATACATGTTTAATTGAAATTCAGCATTGGCAAAAAGACAGTTGGTTTAAGTTATAACTCAGGTTTCTGTAGTTATTGCGTATTTTGAAGGAAAAGAGAGAAGAATAATTCCTTCTGCTATTGTTTGTGTAGGCAGGTGTATTCGCACACAGAGTTCTCACTGAAGTCAATGGAGCTCTGGGAAGATCAGGCAATTCCCTGATACTTAACATTGCAGTTTGAATCTTAATGTATCACCTTTGCTGTAGAGACTTTTTTGCTGATTTGTGCTTTTTTAAAGATACGGATTATTTCTGCAGTTTTAGAGTGAAATCCAGTTTTGTCTTAGAGATGTGGTATACTCATTTGGCCATTTTAGAGTCATCTAATCCAAGATACTTAGCACTCAAAATACTGTTTGAATATAAGTGTTTATCTGCTAGTTTAATTTTTAAACTTTTTTCTTTCTTGTTACTGTTGAAAATGTTACTTCATGTGCCATAAAACAATTTCCTTATGTATACTGGTACTCCTTTTTGTTTTGGGTATTTGTTTAAATATGCAGTGATCTGTCTAGAATGCTCCCATCATTAAATGTTCTTAAGAACATTACTAATGTAATGTAATTACATTAAAAGTCTTCATGAGATGAAAGACTTGATTAATACATTGACAGATGTTCCTTCCCCTAGCTCTGAGGCCATGCTTTTATAGATGTGTTGAGTACATGATGATTTGTGTTCTTAGTAGAAGCATCCGAGATTTGAATACAGTTACGTGAAGCAGGGTCCTGTGGCAGGCATATCAATGGATTTAGGCAGAGCCCCATTGACTTCACTGGGATCACTGTGGAATTTAGCCTCTGACTGATAGCTGGACCTTTTGCCTCCTTGGAATGGAATAATTCCAGCTGCTGGAGTGAACCTGACTTTACTTGCAACTTAGTTGCTGTTTTGCCATGAACAGCAATATGTAGAGTGATTGAACTGTAAATTGCAACAGATCAAGAAATACCTCTTAATAACATCTCTAGCTGCAAGAATCAGGTTTTGGTTCAAAAAAAAATACTATTGACTTCTTGCAGTTTGTTAACAATGGTCCCAGAGTACCATGTTTTGGTGTGTTTGCTGCATCATGATCTAGATAATGTGAGATGAGTGCTGCTATAATACTCATTTGGGATGTTCTTAACAAACTGATAGGTCTCAAAAATTTCACAAACTATAAAAGTACTTTCACTAGAGGCTATATTGACCTGCAGTGTACTGCCTATTCTTGTAGCTTTCTTAGGCAGGTCATACAGCCCATACGTTTATCTTTGTAAAGTCTAGGTTTTTAGTTCCTTTTGTGTCTTGTTTTGGGGACTCTTTGTTTTCATATTTTTAACTTGTTCTTAAACCACAAAGAGAATATTGCTGTATGCACTGGAAGGTGTGTAGAGGCTAAGCGCACCAGAGTCTCCAATTGAAGAATTGCCCCATAATAAATAGGCTAAAGATTATTCCAAATCTTAGTTTTATATTTCATCAGTAAGATCTTAACACTGGTTCAGTATTACCAGAGAGGGAAGATGGCTGCCTAATGAGGGAACAACACTTCCTGGTGTTTTTCTTGTGATGAGATCACTGCCTGACATGATATGGCAACAGGCAGGTAAAGCTATATTTTCCTGTGTCTTCTGTGGTAGACAGTGAATGAAAGGAGAATAAGTCAAAATTCTGACAAATCTTGTTCCAGCTCTATTGATAACTGGCTGATCAGGCATTTCTGAGAAAATGTGATCACTGTTCAGAATCATTCTGGACTCCTCAAAAATGTGTGCATAATTAGGTGAACAAGGTTTTGAGATTGCTTTTTTGATGTCAGAATGCTGTTCTCTGTAACTTTGTATCAGAATCACTCATTTATAAAAAGATGTGAATTTATACAAATTTAACTTTCTGATGAATTTATTATTGTGTGGAATAAGTATGACTTTGGAGACCATGGCACAAAGGTTTTTTCACTATGTATCATACGATGCACTGTTAATGGAGTCAGTGAACTGGATCATGGGTTTTAAAAGATGGCTTTTTATCCTACCAAGAGGTAAAATTATACCATTGACCAACATTCCCAGTAATAAACATTTAATGTGTGAAGTTAAACATAGGGGAGAGGTAAAATGGAAATCTAAAACCATGATTCAAAAAAATAGAAAAATACCTGACATTTGGAGTGTATTTAAAGAGTGGTAAATCAAGGAGGATATCACTACAGAATGAAATCAATGTATGTGACGTTTGATGAACAAATTAACAAAAATGTTATTGTAAATGAAGTAAGACCATTAAGCTGTGAAAATACAACTTTTTGTGTGTGTGTATTGGTAGGTTTTTCTTTAAATATGCTTTGAAAATGCAAAGATGAAAGCTAAACAAAGATACCACCCTAATCTTTCTAAATTTTATGTCCACATTATCTGGTAGATGGATTTTGACTATTAATTTGGTTTTGTATGTTTTCTCTGTGTGATATTTGTGCATTATTAGATGACTAGACTGGCCAAGGCAGACCTGTTACACTTGCCTGAGTTAGGCATTGTTTGCCATGCCACTAAACCTGCCGCCAAGTGAAACCTTCATGGGGGAAATGAGATCGAAGTCTGACCTGCTGAAGATGGACGCCCTGTCTCTGTTTTTATTTTATTTTGCTTTCTTTCCTTTGTTTCTTTTATTTTTATTTTATTTTGTCCCTTTTTTGTTTTGTTCTGTTAAATCTCTTTCCCTTGTACTTGTGAACTGGTACTTCAGTTCTGTAAAATGATGTTTGTAAAGGGTTCACAGTGTTTGATTTTGAAGTTGACTTGAAGCTGCTTATGAATGGTGGATGGTATACAGAGAATTTAGAATATGATTTGTTTTTAGTGCTCTGAATTTAGGATAAATTTGATTTGGAATTTGTTTAAGTATCTAAATTGTGTAGATGAGTACATTGTGTCAGACAGGAATAGTGTTTTGAGATGCAGTCTTCCATATGTTGTGCTTTATGAGTTTATCTTGGAAAAGGACAGTTAAAACTCTTACTTCTGGAGAAAGCGACTTTAGAAAGTAAAGTTATAATATTTTTCTGCTACTTTCCCTCAGCAGAATGTTCTATTTTATGTTGCACCAGCTATTTAAAAGAAGGTTTACTATTTATGTCTAACATGATGAGTTTAAAATAATTATTTCTGGAATTGAACTTTTATGAATATTGACTGTCATAAAATATTCGTTTACTTCTGATGAAACCTTTCTCCAGTGAGGTCAGTTGGTAGTAAGATTTCATAAATTTTTCTTTCTGTAGCTCTCAGAAAAAACTATTTACCACTCATAAGTACAAATGCAGCCTGAAGTTTTGGTTGGAGTGTGTAATGTGAGACACCTTGTCTTTTAACACTGTTACTTGTGGGAAGATTGAATCAGTTATCTTTGTGTGTGTGTGTGTGTGTGTTGCACTTTTGACATGTTCTAGTGGTGATTATTTCAGGAAGATGTTTTTAAGAAAACATTTAAGTCAGGAGAAAAAAAAAAGGGGTTTTTTGCAGTCATCTCAGAGTCCCAGAAGCCCTGGCAGTTCATACTGGAGTGACTGATCCCTGAAGGATGTTCTTCTTGTGAAACAGAAGTCTTGGTGGACAAAGTGGTGTGTCTAGTCCTCAGACACTGCTCTTCCCAGCCAGCTGCACTGGGATCTCTTGGTTTCACTCCTTTCTCCCGACTCTGCACTGCAGCTGGGAAGAGCTTTGATTTGTCATCTTTGTTGGATTTGGCTGTGACAGTTGTAATTGCCAGTAGCTCTAATCTCTTTATTCCCTTCTGCTAAATCCACTAAGATTCATAAGTTGGATCTAATAGAAATTATTTTATTTCTAATCATACATGTTCCATTGATGTAAAATAGAAGGAAAATAATGACCTTTTTAATGTTTAAAGTAGACTATGAACTCTTCACTGTTTTTAAAACAAGCAAACTCATTGCAGGAGCAGTTTTGGATGTGAGAGTTAACTGTAGGTTTACTACAAAGAATTGGAAATTTATTTCTTTGGAGCGCTTGAGGAATAAAAATACTGTCACTAGTACTTTTGGATACAGATGATTCTGTTTAGCCTCCAACAAAATGGGTTCTAGTATGGACTAGGTTGTCTAGGGCTCTTTAGACTAATGGTACACAAAAGTAGCAATCACAACCATGCCTTTTAGCCATGCTGGGACAATGTACATTTGCTTCCAGATTCTTTTGCAAAGGGGAGAATCAATAAATGATCATAGAACCTGCAGTTTAATAAGCAGAAGAGCTTCTAAGAAATCTGTCTAAGGATGTGGTATAGATATGGCGTAATTATTTTGACTGCTTCCTCATTAGAAAATAAATATCTTCACCTCATTCTTACTCAGATTTTAAATACTATGTTCTAAAAATGAAAGGATTATTTTTAAACTAAATTGTCCTAAACTGTTGTGTCATAACCCACATGTTTTGATGTATGCAGTGGGCTTGTATTTCCTTTACAAATACAACCACAGAGGTAAAACTGCAAAATTTAAAGTTTTTGACTCATGAAGTTATTTGGACTTGCATGTTAATTTGTTTTTCAAAACTATTTAAAGAATATGGAGGTAGATACTCAAGATACTGGAGATTTATTTTTGTTCCTCCACAATAGTGTTCTCTAGAATTCTTTTAAAACTTGGCAAGGACTTAAAAACTGGAAAAGTTTTTCTGAAGAGACAGTGTCGTTGAATATACAGGCAAATTTTCAGGATTCTGTCTGTAGAAATAGACCCTTTCTCATTCTTGAAAACAAAACAAATGAATCTTTCTTTGTGATGTGGAACTGACCAATTTGATTTTTGTATTTAAAATAGAACTTCACATTGTTGAAAGACCAAAGTATTCTGGAAATAATGCTGCAAACTTTACAATTTACATATGCATGCTGTTCATTCTGGGAGCTGCTAGAGTGGTGAACTTAACTGAAATGTTCAGTGGATTTCTGGAACAATGTTTCAGCAAGTTAATGATTTCAATTATTTCAGTGCTATGATCCATATACTTAAAGTTTATGCTTCTACTGAAGTCACTTTTTGAACTTGAGTCATTGTCAGTCTTAGTTACATGTGCCTCACTGAGCTCCTGTTTAAAAGGGCTGAATACCTAAGCGTTTTATAAGTTTACTTGGTTAAGAGTGTATTGAATTGGCTGTATGTAAGTGCATACTTAAATTAGGCATATACTTATGTACAGTACTGACCAAGGATCTCCGTTAGCAAGCAGACATACCACTATCAGAACCATTTCTACCTTTGGATTTAATTGTGCCATGTCTCTTGATCCATAGAAACATGGAACATGAAACATGCATGGATAGCTGTTTAATTGCAAGATGTGAACTGTTAAGGATAAGTTCTGGTTCATTACTCATTTGAAAAAACTTTAATACTTTGATTTTCAGAACTGGTACATAATTCTGTGCCTAATTTGCATGCACATCTGCTGGAACTCTATATTCAAAAGCCTGTTAGTAGGCCTACATATTAGGCAGGGTACACAGAGTACCTGATACTTTTGAGCAATCAGGCAAATCAGGTACATCTCTCATTGCATGCCTGACTTCAAAATGAGATCTATTAAGAGTGCTGAACATTGTGATGTGGTGGCTTAGATTCATGCATGTTTTTTAAAAAAGTCCTGGAAGTCATTATTGCACAGTTACTGCTAAGTGCTAATAATTTTCCTGTTTTTCTCTCTTAGTTAGCAAAATTAAGTGGTTTCTTACATGTTGAGTTGCAAAGTGTCTCAAAATTTAACATAAATAAAATAAATGTAAATAGGAAGCATGAAAAAAAGGGTACTGTTATTTTATCTGTTCTGTTCCACCCATGCTACATATAAATTAAGTTTCCTTTAGATTTATTTTGTCATTCAGTCATACCCAGCTGTAACCCAAACTTTCCCACAGATCTGTAGAGCAGGTTTGCAGCACTTGTTTCTTTTAAATTTTTAAATTAGTGTGTTTTCTGTGGTGTCAGTTGGAACTTGTATTGCTAAACCTGCATGGTGTTTTGAAACCTACCTTGAATTTTCCTTTTCAATAAGAATATTAATCTTCAAATTTTGGATTTAGATGTTTTGTAAAGGAAACATCCATCTGACATGTTTGTTAAAACATGCAGTTTTAATCAAGGCAGGAAACCACTGGCACACTTTTTCTGTATTACTTGACTATTAAAACAATGTTGAAATAAGAGCATTTACTTATATTAAGATCCATGGGGAAGTACCAAAGGACTCAGTTGGTCAGCATACGTACAGTTATGCCAGTAATTTTGAATAGATTGTAAATACCAGTGTAGTTAGAACTTTCTTCACAAGTTTTTTAGCTTTGTGTTTAATATTTGTGCCAGTTTTAGTCCCTTTGCGTTTCAAATTTAAAATGTACATTTAATTGTAATCACAATTGTTTAACATTTAATGTTTTTTGTTTTGGAGATATTTTAGGGGTTCATTTAGTAGTCTAATCATGGCTAACATTCAATGAAACCAACATTTAATTCAGATTTGTTATTACTTACTTTTGGTATTACAGGAGGACTATAATCAGGTCAAAATAGCAGGAAGTACTTAGGTTGGGAAAAGAGAGCTAGCTTAGCCTGGTCAAGCTGAAATTATGGTTTTCTTCATTCTCGGTAAATTTAGAGTTAACTTAGCAGTTTCAGATAAACTGAGATGACTAGAATATGACAGTACAAATCTTAAGTTTTTTCTACTCTTCCTTCCTCCACCTTCAACTTCACTTGTAGTGTGTATTCTGTGCAGTCACAGTAGTTCAGTGGTTTATTATTTTATGTTTTATTTATTTTTACATTCTAAGCAGGTAACACCAAAGGAATAAAGAAAAGCACAAATTTCAGTCAGCACATACTTTGGTTTTTTCTTTTTTCCTTTTTTTCTTTTTTTTTCCTTTTTTTTTTTTTTTTTTCCTTTTTTTTTTTTTTTTGTTTTCTTTCTTTTGCTGATTTGGTTATTTGCCATTTCTGGGGATTAAACTTTAAAAAATGTTCTTCTTTTCTGTATCTGATGTTCTGTGTGCTATTAGTGATGCAGCCAACACGAACGGTTGTCATGTGTAAAACAACTTTCGATCACCGCGAAAACACCGCCCTGGGAAAGCGTCCATGCTTGATATCGTTTGGTTCATGAACGTTAAGTTTCCAGTACAGGTGACCCATAGCTCAAAGTGTTAAATAATTATATACATTATTCAGTTTTTAAAATAATAATCCTTTAATGAGATTGCTAGTCTTTGAAGTTTTGCTCACTTTTGTTTTTCCTAGTAGAGCAGGGTAAAAGGAAAAACTTAAGTTATTTGTTTCTTTGTAAGGATCTGGTAGATAGATTCATTGTTATTTATTACATTTTTAAATGCAAGGGTAATTGTAAAATCATAGAAAGAGTAACATCTGGCTAGTGTTCCAACTCTGTGTAATGCTTTCATTTGCTTCTTCAGGTAAAATCCCAGATGAAGCCAAAGCCCTGTCTCTGTTGGCGCCTGCTCCTACTATGACAAGTCTGATGCCCGGTGCAGGGTTGCTTCCTATACCTACACCAACTCCCTTGACTACAGTAAGTGAAGTTCAGTGTCTGTATATTTTCCAGTTTCCTTTGTCTTGGTAGCCTTTTCTGTGGACAGGGAATGAGGACTATGTAGTCAGTGGATGTTGCAGTGAGGGTTTAGCTGTGTTGACTCTCCTGAGGATTGATCAGAAGATATCCATGTACTACCTTCCCAGGGTTTTTCTTTCAGATAACTGTTTTCCAAAATAGTGAATAAATATTGGTTTTGATTTTTGTTCATTTTTAATTGCTGTCCTACCCTGTAGGGTCATTAATTTGGTCCAGTGGTAGTTACCACTGACAAAAAAGTTATTAAAACCTAAGTCACATTGACACCAGTTCTTCAGAATATTAAAAGCTGCAGTAGAGACTTTTCCTTGATATCTCTGTGGCAAGATTTTTGACTGTGAGACTGTCTTAACAATGGTTTTGCTATGAAAAGTAGAGGAGGTTGGTTATGCTAATTTTCCTCCATTTCCTTTTGCCTCTGTAAGCCTTTCTTGACATCAGCAAGTTGCTGTGGTTTATTGAAGGAAAATTTAAGGTTAAAATAGAGTAGTATTTTCCTTTGTTACATAAAAAGAGGTACTGATGGCTTATTAAGAATTCCCCACTCCTTAGAAATTAATTTCTTGAAAAGGCAGTTGCTTTTTGGGTAGAGAAAATTCAAGCCAGGAACTCAATGGACCGATTTTGTAGTGATTTTTAAGTGACTTTTTATAACATTTTACAGGAGAGTTTTCCACTTCCAGTTACAAACCTGAGAGCTGTATACTTTTCACATTCTCTAAGTATGAGTGGAAGAGCTTAAAGCATTCTTTGCATTTCAACTGTAATTAATTTTGTCTTGGGTGATTCATTTGTCCAGAACATGGTTATGTGTCTTTTGATCCTGAGCACTGGAAGTTCCCTTCTTTCCTTGCTGAGCAAGATCTCAGCCATTCCTTATCTAGTCCAAATAATTGTTTCCAAAAAATAAGTATACTAGCAGTGTCTGAAAGAGTCTTACTCAATTTATTTGACTCTTAAGCATTAGAGCCTCTATGTTCTGTGATTAATATAAATCCCTGTCCAGATCTCTTTGGTAAGATGTTAACTGATAACCCACAGAATATCTTAACTATAGAAGTTTCTTTTTGGGTAGGTTTTTCTTTAAAAAAACGTGTTGCGCTGTCACTTTTAAAGTATTGCTTGTACTCATTAGATCTGTTTTTGTAGAAGTATTAAACAAGTATTGATAAATGGAATATCTTTCGCCAAGTATTAAGAAATGGAATGTCTTTCACCAGTGCTTGGCTGCAAACTGTATTCTGTGCTTGTATGTTCCAGCTTGGTGTTTCACTTGGTACTTTAGGGGCTATACCAGCAGCAGCATTGGATCCTAACATTACGGCACTGGGAGAAATACCACAACCACCAATTATGGGAAATGTGGATCCATCCAAAATTGATGAAATCAGGAGAACAGTCTATGTTGGAAACTTGAATTCTCAGGTAGCTTTTTATTGTTTCTATGTTGTGGAAATACTAACAGAATGTGTGAAAATGTTATCTATGAATTCTAGTCTTACATATTAAAAGAGTTTCTGTTAGTTAATGGCAACATGAATTAAAACAAAACCCCCTACATTTTTTTATTAATGATGTTTTGAATTTTGAAGGTTCATGTGCCAGTCAGATTAGACCAGGTGTTGTCAGAATACCAGAGAATCCACTGTAGATCATTTAAAGAAACCTACTTCTAATTGTGTGCTGATTAAATGTACAGTTTGCTTGTGTTAGATGTGCAGTCCTCAGAAGTCATGAGATGATGGTAGCTGTCCTCCACAGCACTGTGTAGTTGCTTAAGTACAGTAAGATGGAATGATGTGTCCTGCTGGAAACTGCACAATTAGCATAAATGTCTTTCAATCAGAAGCTTGGTTTTTTGAACAATGGTCAGATTAATTGAAAAATATTTGCTTTTGACTGATAGCAATGTAAGTATTACATTTCGTAGTTTTTGGCTTCTGAAACAGCTACTGAGTGTAAAAGTACTGTTGATTGTGATGAAATAAAACAGACTGGTAGCTAGAAGCAAGTAAAATCTAAATCCTTCAACATTGTTTGGATTTTTTTGCTTTAGTTGATCAAAAGTCACAATTAGTACCTTTGAAACGGGTATAAAGAAATTTCTTACCAGTTACTTCAGATTAGTTACCTAAAAAGTGGGAAATCCCATGTAAATTTCTTTTCTTTTTTTTTCACCTAGATGAAGGACTAAGGGCTTGTGACTGTACTATTTAAAAGTGTAGAATATTCTTTCGATTAATGGAAGAAAGTATACACTTCTTTAAGACTTAAAATGTAACATTCTCAATGATGCTTTGTAATGATGCTTAGATATCATTCTGAAATTTTGTGGCTCTTGGACTACCCAATATATTACATAATTTTCATTGTATAGTTTACTTCAGCTGAGCTCTTCAACTCTTTCCCAGACTACCACAGCAGATCAGCTGCTTGAATTCTTTAAGCAAGTTGGAGAAGTCAAATTTGTGCGAATGGCAGGTGATGAGACACAACCAACACGATTTGCTTTCGTGGAATTTGCAGACCAAAATTCTGTACCTCGAGCTCTTGCCTTTAATGGAGTTATGTTTGGGGATCGGCCACTGAAGTAAGAAATTAATTATCCGTATTACTGTTGAATGAGACATTTCTTTTTATCATTATACACACATTTATGAATTATGTGTAGCAAAATGCTGTGACTAATTTTTTTTCAGTGTATGAACCTGTTGTTAACAAACCAAAACATTTTTATCAATTCCAGTTTCATGGTTTGGCATAAATTTCTCTCAATAGAATATGTACAGCATTGAGTAAAACACATTTATATTAATCTTGAGGTAGTGTAAGCTATAATACTGAAAAAGATCTTTAAAGTCCATAGTACTAATTAAGTTATCAGTATGATGTGTATGTAGTTAGTAGATATTAATGTGAAGATTTGATCTGAAATAGAGAAGTAACTTCCTGGACTTCTAAAAATATTGTAACATAAGAATGCTGTGCTGCCTTTCTTTAAAAGTGGTAAGATTTCAAAGTAATAAAAGATGCTTTGGATACTTGGAACAGATGGGTGTTTTGCTAAACTTTAAAGTTTTTAATTTTCTACAAAGTTGTTTCCTTACTTGTTTTTCATTTGCCCTGTTCAAACATTTAAGAATGAAAGGTTGTTATTTTTCTTTAATTTAGGATAAATCACTCCAATAATGCAATAGTGAAGCCTCCTGAAATGACACCACAAGCTGCTGCCAAGGAGCTAGAAGAAGTGATGAAGAGAGTAAGGGAAGCTCAGTCTTTTATATCTGCTGCTATTGAGCCAGGTAGGTATATTGTGTTGATTAATAATTACTTGAACTGGCGCATTCTGTGTTTGCCTTGGTACACATTTCAAGAGCATTTTCAGACACAAGAGTATCAAGAGCTATTTAGTCAGTACATGTTGGGGAAAACACCAAAATAATCAAAATTCTGTTCATGCATCTAAGCAGTGGCAGGAAGCTTTTTATGTCATCATATCTTGTTTTCAGATGCATGTTCACTGAATGTTTTCAAACATTGCAAATTTAATACTAAGTCCATACTTAATGATGGCACTTTTTAAGTTAAGAGCACTTGAAAACATTTAAAAGAATATGTGCTTTCTATTTTTTGTTGTCTTTTAGCACTCACTAGGGCCATAGTTTTATGATGAGCATGAGCTAGCTTGGTTCTGAAAGCTGTAATGTTATGCTTTCCTCATCTATAAGCAGCAAGTGAATTTGGTTTCTTTTTCATGATTTCTAAAGGCTGTATGCATCCTTAAAGCAAATGAGATCAGAGAATAAATCTGGGATAAATATTAACATATTGTAAAGGATTTCTTCTCTTGGAGATTGTTTCCCTGTTAATACTGACATGCCAACTCAGGGAGGAATGTGGTGTTGTGTTGAGAGGTCAGACATTGCAGTGGTGATTTATGTTGGCTTAAACTGATTGCCAAACCACAGCATAAAAAAAAAATCTCAACTTTGTAAACTTTCTGCTTCTTTTCATCAGCAACTTTTTGCCATTCTTATTAACAAACCCAGATATTGTCTTGTGTTGGTCAGATAGTGTGGAGTCTTGAGGGTTGTTTGGGGGGAATTATTTTCTATTGTGTTTTTTGTTTAAAAATAAAAACTCCAGCACTTTATCACTGTAAAGCAACAGAATAGCAATTAGGCTCTTAACTGTGTTGAGCTCACTGTTGAGGTTTCTATTGAGTTTCTGGCCTTCAGTCAGACTTTTCAGCCTGTTCTATTCTTCCTTTCCTCCTATGAAACATTGTGGAATAAAACATCAGTATTTGTACAGTGTTTGAAATACCTAAAAATACAGACAGTAATACTTATATTCTACGCTTGTTTTCAAAATATGCTCTCTAAATTTACTCTATTCTTTTCAAGTTATTAAAAAAATAAGAAGGTAATTATATTAAATAAATAGAGGAAAAGGAGGACGTGTTATGATCTTGTGCATTGTGGCAGCAACATAAATCCCACTCATAGTAGAGCTAGCTGTTTATAATTATCTGGTTTATGTGTACTGCTGCAGGATGGCTGCACTCAACGAGTATATGCAATGACTTTCTTGGATGTTTCTGAAGGATATTTGCAAAGAAGGAAGATGTGCAGAGAGTAGGCCCCTTGCAATATATGTGGTACATTCCACTTGTGCCAGATTGTTAACTGGGATCTTTAAATGTTCTGAGCTTACACTGCAAAGTGGTTTTTTCCTCTCAGAGTCTGGAAAGAGCAGTGAAAGAAAAGGCGGTCGATCTCGTTCCCATTCTCGTTCAGAATCCAGGTCTAGCTCAAAATCCCGATCTAGAAGGAAAAGATCACACTCAAAACACAGGTAGGTATGCTTTTTGTTTCAGACATTTTGGGATTTTTTGCAAGATCATATTGGGATTTTTTGCAAGGTGCTGGTTACTGATATTTTTTAGTTATAGACAAGTGTTGCTATAAAGATAATTAACTTGCACCCAGAAAATCAGCATAACCAGAAGTTTTCTCTGAATAGATAGTTTTCCTCTAAACCCTGAATGTTTATAGGATTACTTTCAGTTTAAACATTCTAGAAGGTACTTCCTGTGTCATGTAAAATGAGTTCTGTGGGTTTTTGTACATTTTATGTTTTTGTGCATTAGACTGTGTAGCCAAATAATATTTTGTGACCTGTATTTTAGAGAGAAACCTGCATTTTGTGTATGAAGCATATAACTTACTGGCAACACCTGAGCAGATGGGTTGGCTGGTTCTTTGACTGGTTTTGGTATTGTTCTCAACTTCTAAGCATTGAGTTAATTTTGCCTGTAAGTGTTTTTAAAAAGCATATGGAAAAGGCTTCAGGGGCAGTTTCTCAGGTTTTGTTTGCTTTGCTAAATTTATTAGTTCTGAAACAGAAAATTATCAGATAATTCTTGAAGAGTAGGATTTTTTTCTGTGAATGAAACAGGCTTGTTCTGTGAGAATTATAAAGGCTTCCCAAAATGGTCCAGATTCTTTCAATGTCAGGAGTATATTCTGAGAACCTAGGTAAATAAATTTAAAGATATTTGGCTGTGTTGAGGATGGAAAAAAATATCAAAATATGGATTGTTATTTGATTGCTTACACTTTTAAAAGGTGGATGTTGTCCATGTTGCAGCAGCATCTCTGAGGCATCCTTTCATTCATGTCTTCAAACAAGACTGCTAGGATACTTTTAAATTCAGAAAATCTGGTGAGAGGGAGTTACCATCAATTATACTATCAAATAAATGTGATACAAGTGCAGTCTTCCATTTTGCAACAGCAGTGAACCACAGCAAGTGACAGCGAGTGACTTCAAAATATCAGGTGCCTTTTTAATGCAGGAAGGACCCTTTGGTCACTTCCTTATTGCTTGCTTCTCTGCTATGTCCATAACTGAAGGCATAACTGAAAAACAACTGGTTTTTGTTCAACAGCGCAGTCATTTCAGTATTATCTTGTATTAGCACAAACCAAGTGAAATTCTAGAAGATAAGCTTTTCTTTCTTTAAATGTGGAAAACCTGTTCCTTAAACAAATGATAATTATTATATTTTACTATGTTATGTTAAATTGTGTAATATTGCCACTGCCACTTTTGAGAACATGCTGAAAAAAAGCCAGTCTGACTTGTTGAAGCAGCTTCATCCATAAAAATAATCTATCCTTACTGCTTCCCTGTTTTACTGTTTTATATAACATCATTTTCATCTCTGTGACATAAAATTTATTGAAGGTTATGTTTTGATTCACATTATTTGCAGTGCAATAAATTGCACTTGCAGTTGATTTGTATTTTTCTGCTGATAAGGAGAACAAAGCTGTAGCTAAAAAATGGCTTTCTCTCTTCTTGGTGTATTTTACTGATGCCATTTGGAACTACCTAAAAACAGAGGCCAGACAAACTTAAGGGAATAAAAAGCAGTTACAGTTATTGTAGGACCTCGACATACACTTAGGGCAGACAAAGCCCTCCCCAGTGGCTACACCCAAAGTGGACCCAAAGCAGATCATTGGTTTTCACACTTTTATAAGTTTGGTTTATTTGCATATTGGGGATTAATCTTTCAATTACAGCTTCAAGTAGTGAAGTAATTTACCCCAAGTTTGCTTTCCCCCTAACTCACTCTTGTTTACATTTCTCGGGGCCTGAGAAAGTAAGGTGTCCTTGACTCCCAGGCCTGGAGGGGAGTTGCTTTGTCTGATCAAAATGGGTGAACAGTAGCTAACACTCTATATGGAGTTATTTAACTAAGGAATTGCAGGATTACAAATGTATGAAAAATACAACAGCTAAAATCCTGAGGCATCATTCAACTCTGTGTCTTGAGCTGTGGAAGGTAGGTGCGGTTGTTACTTTTTGTACTTCACAGTTCTTCAGGTTTTATTCAGTAATATGTGATCCTTCTCTCTATGGTAAGTTAAATTTTGTGGTGCCTTGTGAAGCGAAGTATCCAATGATGTGGTTTTCTGAAACTTAACATGCAAATTCAGCTTTTTCTTTTTGTTTCCCTGGGGAAAAGGGTCTTCCAGAAATTAGGGAGTATTTTGGAAAAAAATTTCAAATGCTGTTCATCGAATCTGCATGAGACTTTTTTTAAAAATCAGAGTATCTACACTTTAATTACAACTGAAATCCATGCTAGCAGATTCTTTTATGTGGAAGGGTAACTTGACTTTATGAATTTAAATTACAAGGATGGATAACAGAGAAAGAAGAGATTGTTGCAGCCAAAGTCCTCTTTCTTTGATGACTCAGACTTCAGTAAGTGCCTGGGCCTGGAAAAGAAATTAAATGTAATTTATTATTACAAGCTGCTGCATATTGCCAATCAGATTTTATGCAGTGTCATTTTGTAACGACAGCTGTTGTAAATTGTAGTAACTTCTATTTTCTGGATTCATGGAGATTATTACGAAACAGTGGTATAACTTAAATGGCTTGTTACATATGGTGAAGCATAAAGTATCCATGTTTCCAAAAACATTTGCTGACAGTATGTTATTATGGTGTCATTCTTGAAGGTGCCAGATAAGAATTTGTGGTGACACAACAAATGTATACTCTTGTGTTGTTGGTTGACTTAATTTGTTTGAAGTTTTCATATTGAAATATTTTTCTTCTGGTATTCTTCATTTAGAAGTAGATCTGGCAATAGATCTCTCTCAAGACACAAGGACAGACGCAGATCCCGAAGTCCTCTGAAAAAACGGTCTAGATCTACAGAAAGAAGGAAATCAAGAAGTCGCTCTCATTCTCGGTGAGTTCTGTTCCACAACATGGTATTGTCAGCTCAAAATACAGTTTTTGAAAAAAAATAAAAAATAACAAACCTTTTAGGTTACCATAAAGGGTGGAGTCTCATCTGTGGGACAAAAAGACAGAAAGTAAATTTTAATACTGAGTATAGTGGTCTTGACTATGATAGTTCTTTCTTGTAGCCTGTAGGGTGCCTCCAGGGGTAAATGATCATGCTGAGGCACCTGAACTTCGATAGTCTCATCTACATTTATACTGACATCACAGCTGACTGAAAAGAAAATTTTGTCAGACTACAGCCAATAATTAAGGAATAGCCTATGTAGCTTGTGAACCCACTAAAAAATTGATAGTGCTTGTTTGATATGTATCTGTTAAGTAGTATCTGAATTCAGTCTGACCTTGATCCTGTATTGTGAGAACGTGTATAAAGTTCTTGTGCACAACCTTTTATTTTCATCTTTGACTTTTCTCGTATTAACAGCAGGAACAAATGCGTATGTCGATTGTATGACATATATATGTTTCAGGATGTGTGTATGTGTGTATTTATCTAGTTTATTACTTTTTATGTCTCATCATGTAATTATTAGACTGTGACATTTAAACAAGATCATAGTGTAATTTTTTTAGGGATGAAGTAGTGAATTAAGCTCAAACCAAAAGTGCCTGTGTAAATAGCTTCATGAATAGAAGTCTTGGTGTGCTCTTGGTTTCATTTCTGTAATTCCCCCAATTTATTTAAAGGGAGATTTGTACTTAGGTTGTGCAGCTGCCTCTTGTTGTAGGAGCTGCAAATGTGTGGACCTGTGTGGAAACAAAACTAGATTGCACAGCTGACTGAGTTTTATTATGGATCCTTTTTATTCTCTGTTTCTGCTTTCTGGAGCTTCTTGAGTCTGCCCACTGGAAGGGTGAAGTTCAGTGAAATCTCTTATAAATTAACTACAAGACATTTCTTGGGAGGCTGTAATGCTGATATTATGGGGACTCTGTGCTGTTTCATCTTTATGATGTTACATTCCATCTCTGAGACTTCTAATGAAGTACTTGACAGAACCTGATGGGAATCAAAGTTGTCAGACTGTAGAGCATACAACAATCTGCTGTTAATTTGCAGTTGAGGAGGAGATACAGCCAAACATCACTTCAGTTGGAGGAAAGTTTGATCTTTGGATCTTTCATGTGTGAGAGTCTCTTTTAGAATCTGTAAAAATCTAGAATAGATACCAATATCAGGTAACTTCTGTCAGTCTAGTTCTTCTTGAACAATCAGGCATGCTAATAAATTTTTCCTCTACCTCTTTCTCCTGTTTCTCTTTCTGAACAATTGTTCTTTCATTATGTGTCTCTGTACTAGAGGGAAAAGATGGAGTCTTGCATTTTCAAAGTCCTGTACTAAAATGTTGTTATTAACTAACCAAAGTTGTTAGCTAATTAGTTTTTGTTTGAGTTGATAACTTGAACATCAGATGGAATTTTCCTCACTATCCTTTTAATGAACATCTATCATACTTCCCTGTCCCAAAGAAGCTATTTTCCTTTCTTCTGTTTTTACTGTATTAGGATTTTTAGTAATTCTCAGATTCCTAGTGACATTACGGATGGTTGAATTGTCTTGATTAATTTTTGATCTTACGTTTGCCTTGTAAGGTAATCTGGTGACATTTTGTCCATGTTTTCTTTTTATTTCTATGTATTAAGTGGTGTTGGATTGCCAAGCAGTTAAAGGATATCTGTGTGAGAGAAAACTGCAGAATATGAATACTTCTGTCAGTTAGCTGTCATTATTCATTTGGCAATGATTAATCTGAAGGCCGTTTTATGTGGATACATTTTTAGTAAAGAGTGGATTTACAGTTTGTAGAGTTTGTCTCACTCCTGACAAAATACAGAAAATATATGTATGTATAATTACATAACTGAGGTGAACAGACATATTCTCTCCAAAGTGATGATAGTAGCATCACTTGGAAGATAGTAGTTTGGTTTGGTTTTGGCTTCCCCTCCTCCAGTTTGGTTTCCAAATTTTTCCTAGCTGTATATAGCTGTTTATTTCCTAGCTATATATAGCTTTCTCTTATTGTGAACAGGGGTGAAAAATTAAAATGTTGAAGAATTACTATTTTTTAACAGAGATGTGCACTTTATCTTGATGTATATTTAAAAGTTAGTTATAATTTTAATTGGAAAGTTCAAAGATGAATTAATGGGTTTGTGTTTGGCTTTTCACAGGGACAAGAAAAGAGACAAAGAAAAGATCAAAGAAAAAGAAAAGGCCAAAGAAAAAGAGAAAGACAGAGACCGAGACAAGGAGAAGGATAGGGATCGAGACAAAGACAGGGACAGAGAGCGAGATAAAGAGAGAAATAGAGAGAAGGACAAGGAGAGAGATAAAGAGCGAAGCAAAGATAGAGAAAGAGCCCGAGACAAAGACAGAGACAGGGACAAGGATAAAGGTAGGGACAAGGAAAAGGAAAAAGATAAAGATAAGGAAAAAGACAAGGAAGAGGTAGATCATAACAAAGAAAAAGAAGATACTGAGAAAGAAGGAGAGAAGGACAGAGAGAAGATTAAGGACAAGGAGGGAGATAAGGACAAAGGAGGGGACAAAGAAAAGGACAGAGACAAAGAAAAAGAAAAAGATGGGGATAAGGAGAAGGAGCGAGAAAAAGAGAGAGATGATAAAAAGAAGAAAGATAAGAGATCCAGAACACCCCCGAGAAGCTATAGCTCTTCAAGAAGATCTCGTAGCTCCAGCAGGTTTGTTTAGAATTTTTCATGCTTGGGTTTTTTTTTTTTTTTTGACTTTTCAGATCAGTGAGACACCATCCTAACTTTTATGTATTGATGTCACCATAGCTCTTACTAAATAAATTGTTATTATTTCTGTTTTGTAGATTTTCCTTTCAAGTAACATCTGTTATAAGAAGCTCTATATGATGCCTGATATAACAGAGTTTCTTGTTGGGCTGCTGGTGCTTGACTTTTGCATAACCATATTGTATAAACTTTGTGGACAGTAATGAGATTATTTTTGTATGTATATGTATGTTACAGACAGCTAAAAGTTCTGACCAGCATCACATGCATTATCTTTGCCCTGATGAAAGTTTGAGTCGCTGTTACACAGTTCTTTCATTACTTACTTAGTGCAGCATTTTGGTCTGTAGGTCTTGCAAACAGTTGTTTTCTAATACTGCCTCTCTTTGACTGGATGGCTGAACTGCAGGAAGCCAGCGTGTAGGTTGGCTGGCTAGCCTTGGAAGAGACAGATACATTGTTTATCTGATGGCCAGGTGTAAGTTAAAAGTAACATTCCTTTACACTGCTGACAATAAGCAGGAAAACAAAGTTGATGTGGCTGTTGGTTTTGGCTCTGAGGGGAGCTTAACTAGCGGGAAGTCTGGATAAATTTGTTACAGCCGAAGAAGGCTGTGAGATTATAAACAGTCTCTGTAAGCAAGCTCAGGCATATTCTAAAAGCAGCTAAGTTAAGTTTAGAAGCATTGGTGGATAAAGTCCCCAGTATTACATCAGAAATTAGGGAGTTCAGTGGTATTGTACCAGATTTAAACAGCAAACTGTATCTGTAACCTTGAGATAATGAAATGCTGAACAAATTGGACAAGTTCTACCTATTGTAATAGTTTCACTAGACAAAAGCAGAGCTCCTCTAGTCCTTGAAATTCATTAGTTCAGGGTTCATAGAAGGCAAAAAAAGGGTGTAATGGTTTCTGAACATTGTGTCATGAGGTTTATGGCAAAATATTGTTTCTTCATTAAGCATATGCAGCTTCCTATTTAAACGAGTGGAACACGCACATAGAGATACTTCTGTCAGCTTTGAAACCATTTTGTTTCAATCCATAGGCCTCAGAGTTTTGAATTGGATAAATGCATAAAAGTATGTAAGAGTTTCACATTATGTATCTTATATAGGAGCCTTGGTTGAAAACCAGGCTCCACTGCCAAATAGTAGGTGTAGTTAGATGGGTGTTACCAAAAACTCATGTTCTAGTTTGCAATAATTTTGCTCCCCCTTAGGAATCTTACTAGTTAAGAAAGTGCTGTGGGAAGGCTCCAATGTCATGTACTTGAGTAAGGAATTCTTAAGAAAATTAATGCCTTTCTTGTAGTGCAGTCAAAGTACAAAACTTTTCTTTGATATAATACAGATATTGTTAAACAAGGGTAGTGTTCTTTTGAAGCTGGACACTTTTTATTATGGATTTACAATTTTTTTTTCAGATATAACTATCCTTGGAGCATCAATGCAGAGGCCAATACTGGTGAATGTTGTTATCAGGAGCTTAGACAGTGGGACAGGGTGCATCCTCTGTAGCTTTGCAAACAACAAAGAACCAGCTGTGGGGGGAGGCTGATCTGCCATTAGAGAAACTTTAGCAGATGGGAGAAATGGACTAATAGTCATCTCATGGACTTGAGCAAAGAGAAAGGACAAGTCCTACACCCAGGCAGGAATAATGCATTGCACCAATGTGGCATGGGGACTTGCTGGCTGCCAGGTCCTTGCAGTCAAGGAAACCAGCAATGTTGTGGTAGGTCAAGAGAGGTAATTCTTTCCCTCTCTCCTCTGGTAAGGGCACATTTAGAATCTTTTTCTGGGCTTCCCATTACAAGACACGTTCTGATGTACTGGAGTGAGTCCAGTGAAGGGCCGTGAAGCTGAAAAAGGACTTGGAGCTTCCTTCATACAGGGGAATACTGAGGAATCTGGGATTATTTAGCCTGGAAAAGAGAAAGCTGAGGAGCATCTCACCAATATATACGAATATTTGATAAGAGCATGAAGACAGCCAGCAGAGGCCTGTGACAATTAAGAGGTGACAGGCACATATTGAGCTATGGGAAATAAAGGGGTTTTTTTTTCTAGTGTTGAAATTATGGTTTTGCTTGGCAGACTGGAACCAGTTACCTTAAGGGATTGTCTATTCCAACCAAAAATCTGACTGGATATGGCCCTGAATAATGTACTTTGATTGACCCTCTTGTAAGGTGGGGAAGGGATCGTTTGGACTTAGTGATTTTCAGAGGCTTCTTCCAACCTCAGTAATGTCATTGCTCTCTGACAAGCAATTCTGAGTAGGTTGGTTTACTTGAGGAGTCTTTGGTGGTGGACATTGCATAGTTGAAATGGTTGCAGACCTTTCCAGTGAAGATCATTCCACAGATAGGTATTTCAGTTGCCTGAATTTCAGTACAGCAGTTGACTGCTGATCATGTAAAATGTGAAATATAAGTGTAAACATAAAATATTGGGCAAATAGTCAAATTTTGGAGAAGAGGTGAAGGTGGAATAGGACTTACAGGACCTTCTAAGAACTAGATGGCAGCTGACCTTGCTTTGCTGACTTGCTTTGGTCACAGGTACTGGAAATAAGATGGTTATTTGTGATTCTGGGCTGAAAAAAGAAACAGACCTGGGGAAGTGAAATCAGTTGGAAAAGGAGCTGTCTTACAGGCTAGCAGAGCCAGTAGCACCAGATGACATGCAGAATTTTATTTCCATTTATAATTAAGAGACACAGGATCACTATGAAAGTATTCAGAACTTGGTTTTCTTAAATTGCTGTTGGTATTGTGTAAGGCATTTAATTAAATGAGTGCACAAAAATCTTTTTATGTGCAAATGTAATAGAGATGGGATCAGATGCAGTGAGAGATGGTTATGATTCTTCAACTTGAAATAAGAAGAGCAGAAACTGCAAATAAAACTAATTGAATAAGCAGTTTCTACTTCTAACACAATTGCTGAAGTACTTGATTTGCAGGTACGTATGCTAGAAAGCAAAATTAAGTGAGAATGTATTCAGTATAGCTGAAGTAACAGCACTGAGAGAATAATCAATTTTCGGTGTCCTCAATTAAATAAAGGTGATGATCAATGTGGAGATGTTCAAAATGCATGTTAACTAGTGAACAGCTGATTAGTGACTGAGATTTACTGCATGAATTTGAGGCTATTTTATATTTTTAGTTTATTAAAGATAAATTAAAAGCTTTAATTTATCTTTAATTTAATAAACAAAATACTTTGGAAATCTTGTCCTGTGCAGCTTCAGGAGGTCACTCTATTGGTTTTGATTGAAAGAGAGTTAAATTTCTTCTAGCAGCTGGTACAGTGCTGGAGTTTTCCTTTTTCTCCTGCTTATTCTCCTCCCCTGGTGGGGTGGAGCTATGGAGGTTGATGGGCAAAGGGGGCAAAAGAAGACAGAGAATGAGCAAATGCCACTCAGGATTTAGTTGTCATCTGGGGTTAAACCATGACAGTTCTTTTTTGACTTCTTTAGCTTCCTCACCAGTCCCTTCCTTGTTCAACTTTGTCGTGCTCTGCCAGGTTCTGTTTGGAGAGTTTAGGAAAGAACATGTTAGTAATTGCAAAAAAATAAAATAATTATACTAACTAATAATTATAATGGAGAGGGCAGAGAGGAATAAAGTCCAAGAGAAACAAGTGATGCACTACACAACCAGTCACCCCTCACTCACCTTTGGCCATGGGGTTAGCTCTCCTGGCCATGCTTTCTCACAGTGTCTTGCGTACCTGCTTGCTGGCAGAGCATGGGAACAATGGTCCTTTATTTTAGGATAAGTAGCAACTAAAACATCAGTGTATTATCAACATCATTCTCTTATTGAATCCAAAACACAGCACTGTTCCAGTTACTAGAAGGAAAGTTATCCTGGCTGAAATCAGGACAGTCACAGTAGATGCTATATGGAGTATCACTGTATGGATTGGTACTGTGATACGTCAGAGTATCTGTCCATATTGTGATACTGACTGTAATTTAAGTGTCCTTTTGTTACTTATCTAATAAGTGTTGATTTCTTGCCTTTTCTAGATATTGAAGATTTAAATATTCACAAATTGCAAAAGCTGTTTTGTTTAAAAATAAATGTGCTGTATCTAGAAGTTTTAAACTTAACTTTTTTTCTTCAGTTGTTCTTCCAATCTGCTTTTCCTGCTTTACAAAGAGTTGACAGGAAAAAAGTAGTCATATTTTGACAGATCGCTTCTGTGTTTATATTAAATGAAGTTGTACTGATTCAGTTTTTGCTTTAATTTAACATGTCCCTCAGTATAAATGGCCAGTTATGTGATGGTTTGTTGTATTCAAGGTCAGACTCCATAATGGCAACTTGAGAAACTCCATTTATCTATGTATAACAGTTGCTTTGTAAAACACTTCAAGCTCTTTCCTATGTTACAGAATGATGACATTCTGTTTGCTAAGCAAGGACCACTAGAGAAACAATAGATTTTATTTATTCTGACTTTGACAACAGCTTGGGCTTCACTTTGCACTGTTTTCTTCCAAACCAACTAACTCTAGCTTATACATTTACTGAAGTTGCAGTGATCTTCAGATTGTAATGTTACCTTCTGAATTTCATATTGCTCAAGTTATACGTTTTGTCTTAATATGGCTCCTCATTTAATTGAGTTACTTTTCTGACTGAAGAAACTCTTAGCTGATACAGTATTACTGACTTCACTGTGTTTTCATTGTTATCAAGCATATAAAAATTTTAAAAAAATTTTTTTAAGGGTGAATCTTTTTTTCCTACATTGGCCTTGCCTTTACCACTAAACTGAAGCATACAAAATTTTTTTGTTGTTTGTACAGTTAATATTTTGTTGGTAATATAGACTGACAAGTTCAGTAGATATGTTTAGATCATTGTAAGAACTTTCTCTTTTTTTCTCCTTTGAATTTATTATTTTTGGGTTTTGATGATACTGAATTTCTTGGTCCTATAGAGAAAGGCGTAAGAGGAAGAGCAGAAGTCCCTCCAAATCTCCTAAAACATCAAAAACAGCAAAAAGAAAGTCTTCACGAACTCCTTCTCCAAGAAGGTCAGTTTGATGTAGACACAGAAGTTAATGATTAGTAAAGATGGAAGAATTGGTAGCAATTTCATTGTTTTACTGCCTCTGCACTAATGATTTCAGATTATTTCAGTTGGTCAGTATGATTCAGTTTTAATTTAAAACTAAGTCAAAATTTTAACCAATTTGAGCTCTTGTGTTCTTTCAGTGGCATAATTTCAAATCAATCAGCATTGCAGATTTCTTCAAATCAATAAAATTTCTTTCAGCTGGTACAGATTAAATTGCTTTTTGCTTTGCAGATACGGTGTGTGGTGGTCATATCAAATGTTTAGCTCTCTTCAGCCAAAAAAAATGCCGTATTCTTTGCAAAGGGATTTTTGGTTAAATTTTGGGAGGTTTTTTGAAAGTCCGTGCTGGGTGTTTAGTTTGCAGTCAAATGGTTTTTCTTGTAGTTGGATCAAATCCTAATTTGAATAAAAAATTTCTGAAACAGAAATAAGAAAGAAAAAAAAAGAGAAAGAGATACAAATAATGAAAGAAGAGAAAGAGAACGCTCTACTTCTAAGAAAAAAAGTAGTAAAGAAAAAGAGGGAAAGGAGAAGTCTGACAAAAGCACCACTACTTTGAAGGTAAGTTTGTGTGACCAAGTGATCAACAGAATGAAGTGGTATTGCAATGTACTGCAGTGAAGCCGTTACTGAAATACTCCCTCTACTTTTTCTCATTTTACTAATTTCTTCTATTTCTTCTGTTCCTTACCAAATTAGTGCTGCTTGAGTTCAGTATTAGCTAGTTGGCGTTAATAGGCCAGTTTAAGTGTACATATCTGATCTTCAGTTGACCTGTAGGAGTTCATCTGCTTGGGTTACAGAAACACCTTGTTTCTCTTTTGTGTTGTGTGCCCTATGTTAGGACTTGCTTGGCTTCCTACTTTGAGGAGCAGGCAGACTATTGACTAACAAGCAGTATTCAGGGGTGGCTTGACTGTGAAACTGAAAAGATTACTTCTAAAATAAACTCATTGAATTGGTCCTGGTCTGTGCATTGGATATAGCAGTAAAGTTCAAGAGTTGTGAAAGAGTGGTATAGGATTTCCCCTACAAAATAGAAAGTACTGCAATTAAGAAAAGAAACAGAAATATCTTCAGATTGTTTACTCTTAGTATTTAAATAGCAGCACATCTTTAAAGAGTAGTTAGTTGTGCTCAGAATTACTCAGCTATTAAAACACAGCTGGTTTAGGTGACTGTTCAAATGCTTGAGTAAGTATCTTACGCAAGAACTCTAAAAATGCATCAGATACCTGACAAAAAATGAGAAAAAATGCAGTCCCGTTCTATTGAAAAAATGTTAGTGAAATTTCTGGAGCTGCTTCTCATACTTTCCATGATGCTGCTTGTTCTGTAACTTTATATATGAGTTTATTTTAGTTAATAAAGACAGATCATTCTGTGGCATAATTTCTTGGGTGATGGGTTGTTACAAGTGCTGAACTTCAGCCATATGAAAAGAAAGTGTATTTTAAAAAAAGGTGGTGGGGCAAAGAAGCTCACACCTCAGTTTTAAAATTTGCAGACATAAGATACGCATGTAAAAATTTAAACAATAAAATTAATTAGAGTTGGTTTGAAGTCATAGCCTGTAATGCTAAGAATATTATTTTGTTGTCAAATAATTTTATCTTTGGTAGGACAAAGATAACAATAACGAAGATCAGAATTCAGAAACTGACAAGGAAGTAGACAACAGAGATACACAAAGGACAGATGAAGTCAAGCTACAACAGAACGGAAATTGTCAACCAAACGAAGAAAATCTCTCAATTAAAATGGAAGAGGTTTAAAGCAAAGAATGGACTTCTAATTCAACTAAGGAATGAAATCCAAAGCATTTTATTTCCCAGAACGAGGAAGAAAATGTCAAAGCAATCAAACTGAACGTGTTGATAGTACTAGTAGCTCCTCCAGTTCATGTGATAACTTTGTTGTCTTCTTGCTGTAAAGCAACAGGGCACCCGACCAGTAGTTAATACCATGAAAAGGCAGATGCCATCAGAACTATTCATCTCTGAAAATCCATGCATTTCCATGATGGCTGTACTTGTAAAATGATTTATGTTAAGTTTTACTATAAGCTGTTACAAATAACTAGAAACTGAAAGATGTAAACCTGTACTTCCCAAAAAAAGCTGAAGATATGCATTGAAGGTTGTTTAAAATACTGCTTGTTGATGACTTTTGTATTGTTTTGCCCTGTAGGTTAAAAAATCCACAAAAACTTCAATGTGTGCTGTTTGATGTGCTTGAAAATAGTGCATAAATATACGCACTTCCTTTCCTTGTAAATGACAACTGTAGGGAAAGGGGGTTTAAGCATAAACATGGTTTTACTGTTCTTATGTTAAATACTCACAGATTAGTATGTTTTTTATTTGCTCACTGCTTGAGATTCTTAGGGTTTATTATTTGAAGTAATTTCTTACTAATATCCCTGAAATTAATATTTCTTTAAAGTATTTGAGCAATGCATGTGCTTTTTCTGTTCCTAGAAGGAACATTGCCATGTTATAGATATTAGGTTAGCTTACAGGGTTATTTTGGGGTTGTTTTGTTGTTTTCTTTGTCCGTAGAGAAGTGAGCACATCTCTATGATTATACCAGAACTTATAGCTTTGTTTTGCAATGTACTGCAGTGTGTCTGTTCAGCTGAAAATAGTACAGGTGCCATTAAGAAAATAAATTTTTCCTTTTTGTTGATAAAATATGGGAGCACAAGCAGAAGCTTTAGTGCCTTCTTAAAATGTGGTATTTTCTAGAAATGTATATGTGCTGTTACACATTTTTAGCTAAATCTTATATGATCTCTCTTGCTACTTTGCCACCACCATACTGTAGACGAAAATGCAAGTGACTTGCCAGAATGGTTGTTTGATTCACTTGTTAAAATAGTGAAGCTCCATTTTACTTTTATTTTTTATTCTTAGAAGAGATTTATAAATAAGAGAAAAGATGTAATTTGGGGACCACCACTGTACAAAAGCAGTAGCTGAATACAGAGTGTGCTCTGATCACCTGCATCAAAGAAAGCTCTTAAGACATATAACATACATTTGGATGGCCTTAATTGTTACCTCTCTGTTATTTTTGCTGATACCTGTTGGGCAATGTAAAAGGAATGTCATGCTAAGAAATGGGGGATAAATACTTTGAGGAAGAAGGTTCTAATTTCACAGGGCTTATATAGGAGATATTCTTTTATCATTTTTTGTGGAGAAAGCATGCAAGAAAAGAATCACAAAACAAGTGGTTTTCTCTTGGCAAAACATAGCTTTTGTTCTTTGAAGTAATTTAATTGGTTATATGAGATTTCTGATAAGTTACACTCTTAAGATGTAATTATAGCTAAAATTGCATAGATTATTTTTAGTACAACTTAATGCAATCAAATTATTAATTGCCTTACCTCATAGGAAGTGTTATTTCTTTCAGTTAAAATAAAAAACTAAGTGTATCGGCTATTTGCTTTCTACTTGTTTTACTTTTCCTCCGCATAGTTAGTTTTTGCAGTGGAAGGGAAGCATATTATAGGAATGAAAACTTTGCCCAACTCCTAAGGTAATGAAATCCAGTTTGATTGTGAAGCTGCTTAATCACTCATTTTCTATAAGATTTAATGTTCTTGCCACTGTGTACATTTAAGACAACAGAAAATGCTTTACCATGTAAAGTATAGAACAGCCATTTTTGTGATGTTTAAGCCACATGCTGTTGGCTGGTAAACAGCTAATTCTGATAAAAGAATAAAAAATTGTATGCTTACAGGAAGACTGTGAAAGATTGTGTCTTGCAACAACAGCTGTCTTATTTATGATGTGTAAGTAGCATAGAGCAAAGAGATTGTTTGTATACTTGTTATCTTTGGTACCATTTCACTAATAAAGTAAGTATTTTAGAGGGATGTTTCTGCTGGTACATATTTATTAAAGGATTATTTTTAGACCATTGGGATTTACTCATAGACCTTCTTTCATTTTAAATGTGGATATTAGTGAAAACATATGTGTATTATTTATGTTTTCTTTGAAAAGCTAAATTTGTCTGTTGGGAAGAACTATAATTCTTTAAGTGTATCATGTTTTAGCTGGTATTAGTTTGGTTTCTTGAGTTTTTTTATCCTGAAATAGCATAATTCTATGATGTATCAGTTATAAAACATGTAAAGGAATGTGTACACTTAGCTAAGAAACATGCCTTTGGAAGTTAATAGTTATGGATGGCAGCCTTAACTTACTAAGTAGCTTTTCACCTGTGTGAGGCTATATGCAGCACATTATTTGTATATTAATTATGGTTCCCTTACAAAAGGTATCTTGGGGTTTTTAAGGTTTTTGTTCAGGTGGCTTTGTTGGTTGGTTTTTTTGCTGAGGAAAAAAAGTAAACCAGAGCAACCAGCCACCAAACACACATTTCTCCCCCTCCTCAAGTCATATTTTTTTGCAAATACTTTGCAAGACACTTTTTATTTTCTGGTTTTGTTTTGTAAATACTTTGCATATCTATGAGGTAGTTAATCTATCCATGATCTGTCCATCTTAGCAGGTGTTCCTAAAAAGCCACCCCTTGAGAACTATTAGTCTATAAAATGCTTATCTCTGTGGAGGGTAGCTCACTTACAAACTGGTAACATAGCACAGTAATAAAGTTTCAGCCTGCTGCTGCAGGACTGAGAGCATCATCCACTGAATGTGTTCATCTTCCATGGGAAGTCCATTGCATTCATCATTTTAACAAGCTTGTGTGCTCAGCTGCTGTGTCAGATCATCTGGTTTTGCACTTTGTAAATGGGATTAACTTGGGTAGAGGTTTTGAGAAGTGTGGTTCATGGTAGCTGTATTGTTTTTTACAGGTAGTTTAATCTGAATCAGCACTTACTTGAAAATGTAAATTGCTCAGAAGAGTGAGTAATTGTATATTGCCATTTTGCTAAGATCACATAAAGCACATAAGCATAAATATTCATTAGTGCCCATAGCTATTTTCCAAGAGGGTTCTGCATTGCATTCTGAAAAAAGGTAGCAGAAGAGAATTTGGTGGATCAAACAGGATGTCAAGCTCAAAATAGAGGTGGCTTGTGGTTTAGATGATTTCATCAAAGTCAATGGATTTAGAGGTATGAGGCATAGAATTTTGTTTACAAACTCCAATAGTAGTATGGTATGTAAAGGATTTTTAGTTTTCATATGTTGAAATTGGGGATAAGGGATTATAAAAGCACTTGGTTAGAAGCTAGAAGTATCTGAAGAATACTTGGGAAATACGTGAGATGTGGGTTTTGACTATTAGATAATCACCTGCTAATTTTTTTATGGGAGTTTCAGATAGATACATCTGAACTAGCCTTATGTTAGCTGGCTGACAGCAGCCTATGTCCAGCTTGAATTCTGAAATGAGCTGTGGACACTTCAGTGCTGTTTGCTCCTAGAGGAAGTTAAATTCATAGTCTGTAGCATGCTTTGCATTGCGTATTAGTGTTTAAAGCAATAACCTGAAATTATGTTGAAACTCTTCAGATGTGTTACATAGTAGCTTCTCTCTTTTGCTCTTAGCTTGTACTGCTATCTTGTAATAGTTACTAATTTACGGAAGTAAGTAAGTTTTATTGTTGTTCTAAGGTAAAGATAATAAGTCCTGCTATGTGCATTATAAATTATTGTATATGTATTGCCAGTTCTTACTTTTCATTGGTGAGTGTGACCCTTGCAAACAGTAATGCTATAATGGTATGTATATTGCCTACTTCTAGGTCTAAAGCATCTCTGAATCGCTTTTAGTGAAAGAATATCAGAGTTCATGTATTGTTAGAGGGATAAAAGAAATCCAGACACAATAACCTTGGATTTTGTAAATGTCAGTGTGATAATAGCATTGTAGTGGTAAAATAGTCTTAAAGATGTGAATTCTGAATCATTGTCGGGACATATGCTGCTTGGTAATTTCCATTTTATAGCAATCAAATGTCACTTTTGATGTTACCTTAATTTTGAAAGTGAAAATTTGACTTAGCGTCAAATGCTGAAATTTATAAATGGCTAAAATCATGTCAATCAGTAGACAGTTCAGAGAGATGTAGTTTTCTCAGCAGAGACTGGAGTGTGGAGAATTGAATATATGTAAATATCATTAAGTGCTAGAGCCTAAAGAGAATCTGAAATTTAATTTTGTTTGCTAATAGATAAACAAGTTTTCTGTTTGTAGTTTAGCTTTATTTTTATATGTTGAAAAGTATAATTAAAATTATATTGAAAACTAAAAGCACTGTACAAAAGGATTTTTTTTTAATGTAAGAGAACCACACTTTTTAATTCAAGACTGCCTCATATGTAGGTAAGTCCTATTGCAAGGTATGAGCATGTTAGCACAAGGGTTTCTTTTGTACTGTCTTCAATGTAATGCAGCTTAATAAACTGCTCAATATGTGGAGGCTGATACTTTCCCTCTAGTTTGAGGATATGCCGCTGTTAACACTTAATTCTGTATTGTTTAAGCACTACAGTTGAGAAGCTATGACCCTCCTTAAACTTGTTTTCTGAATATGTGAACTCTTACTATCCAAGAGGGCAATTTTTTTTTTTGTCATGACAAGTCAGTTTTAAGATTGTCGGGCCTAATACAGGAGAACATGGACAGCAAAAATTAGGTTTTAGCTATTTGTACTATTCTGGAGAGTTTTAGCTTACAACTTTTTTTAAATTGTTTTTACATTTTTTATGTTCATCTAGTGCCAAATTTGATGTGAGATCAGAAATTTTTGGTGTATGAAGTGTATTCTGTAGTAGTTGCTAATGGAATTGTTCTTTTTCCATTGAAAAGGCTATAAATGTCTTTTTTGGCCTGAAGGGTTTGTCAGCAATGGTAAAAGAATCATTTCATCTCCCTTTCATGGAGTTCTTGATAGCCTTAATGAGGCTTCCAGTTAACTGGCTTTCTTGGAAATCATTACTCTGTTCTTTTTCCTTAGTGCAACGATTTAGAACCGTTGCTGCACTGATGATTAAATCATGGGCCATTTAGAAATTGCTACTTTGAAAAGCCGTCATTTACATAACAATCAAAGGAATGATTAATTTGGCCCAGAAAGATCAAGGGAGGAATTTAACATTCACAGTTTATGTAGCCTATCCGTGAGTCCTTTCTGGTATTTTCCCGACTGACACGGGAGCTGTGTCTAACTTGTTACACATATCACACCCGTCACCATCTGGATTCAGGTATACCTGAGGAACCTAAGCATGCCAGCAGCAAAAGGTACTATTTCCCTTCTCGAAGCTTGATATTTCTGTTAATAATGTAGGTATTCTAAGTTTAATTGATAGGTAACCAAACTTGTGCTATGTTGGTAGAGTATATTTTTGCATTAATGAAGCAATTGTGAAAGTGGTATACATAAAGAAACGTGAAATGCTAATACGTTGTTCTTTTCATAAGTCCAAGTTCTAATGGTGTCATAAACTCACTCCCACTAAATTTAGATGAGATACAACACATGGCTGGACAATTTTTCTCTTTTTTTTTTTTCTTTTCTGTAATAGGCTTTATCTGCTCCAGAGTCAAGTGCTTTGAAACTAAGTCTGTTGTACTGATACTGACAAGAGTGTTACAGGAAAGGTGATTAGGGGTTAAATAACTGAATATATCATCACTCTTTAGTTACAGAAGAGCCTTCTGAATCCCGTCTCTTAAGAAGGGGATTTTCTTTGAGCAAGAAACTACTAGTTTCACCAGAGAGTGTTTCACTTACAAACGTAAGTTAGTAAATGTAACTCTATAGAAGACTATATCAAAGTGGGAATCAGGAGTCAATCAAGAAGAGCTTCTGACACTAACTACCTATCAGTTTGTTGGATGATTTCCTGCTAAAATTTACTTCTCAATGCCTAAGATTCACTCTACTAATTTTGTATCAGAACTTGGAGTACTCTACTCTGTTCAATCAGTGTGTCAATACTGAATTAATTACCTGGAAGTGGACTTCAGAATCTTTGGATGAGGAAAGTGTTAGACCTGGGTCATTGCATTGCAGTGAGTGTGTTAGAAATGGGCATTTGTGGTGCTTTTATGGCTGAATGAAAAATGTAGCCAATATTGGGTAAGTTAATTCATTCTAGTAAATCAGATTCCTTTGATCATTTTTACCATGGGAAATTATTTATAGTTGTAAGAACTGTTGTAATTCAGTAGGTGATAATAAAACATATAAATCCTACTACTTTTTAAAATAGTTTTCTTCTGTCAGATCTGTAACTATTCCAACAGCAGCTTATAGCTTCAAATGGAGAGTGTAATCAAGAAAGACAACTAGAGATCTATGAAGACCATAAAGGCAAGAATTATTAGAAGCTGTGTCAGCTTTCCAGATCATAATTTTCAAGTGCTACATAAAAGCAGTCAAGCCTCATTCCTGATCTGTCTCCTGTTATAAAGAGGTGAGGAGTAACTGTCCAAGCCTGCTGGTACCATTGATTCATCTTCTGACTTGTAGGCAGACCTTTGAGATATAGAATGCCTGACATTAGTGATCAAACATGATCACTGTTTATACCATGTAAACTTGCTGCTGCTTGGTGCTTAGCTACTTGGAAGCTGTGACAGATCAGTCTTGGGTTTGCTGTAGCAGTACGTTATTTTGAAAGCATTATCTTTATTGCTGAGAACACAGGCTAGTTGTGTGACCCAAGAGAGAAACCTCCAAGAAAGCTTCAAGCCCCTGAAGGATTGTTGAGGGGATTACAGTGTAGAAACAAAAATATTTAAGTCAGAATTAGTCCTGGAATTTCAGAAAGTACAAGTGTGACAGCTGATGTGGGAAGAGCATCTTCTGGAAGTTGGGCTATGCTTCACTGCAGTGTAAAACTCAGTGCTGGAACACCCCCTCCTGAGCTATCACAGTAAGATTTCAGGTAGTGTTTGAAACACTGGATATTTTAGACACTGAATGTGCTACAGGCTTTGTTACAGCCAGCCTACTGCAAAGCACCACTATTTTTAGTGCTCTACCACTGCTAACTTTGTAGTCTAATGCAATAGTAATCTGCCAAAATGCACTGGAAAGTGATGTACCTAGTTACACATTAATAAGAGATATTCCATGTACAAGTAGCTGGGCCTTTTTAGTCATATCTGAAAGAGGTTTATTTTGACTTTGATTTTATGTCCAGTTCATTACCTGGTGCCTTGAACCAACACTTGAGGACTAAGGCTGATGCATGTTGGAGGTTTACCTTTAACAATTAATTGATGAAATGTGTTGTTTCAACTATTTCTTTTGGAGGTGAGAAAGTAAATTAGAATGCCTGACAGCAGGAAGGTGCCTTTATTTAATCCAAGGATAAAATGAAGTAAATCAGAACTCTGTAGTCCTTGCTGCAATGCAGTTTATGACTGCAATGAGAGTTCTGCCAGCAAAGGGAATGGGACCTGTAAGGTTAGATTCTGTAACATGGCATTTGGCAGAGTACCATCATGCCACTGTGCAAAACTGGGCCACCTGGGTAGCACAGCTGGTTGCCTTTTCAAGACACATTGGGTGCTGGAAGGAAAGACAATGCAAGTGGAGGGGTGTAAGGAGAGATACAACCAGTGTGTCTTTCATCTCTTGTTCTCTGCATCCATGCTTTTTGCTCCTTGAAGCTTTCAAATAGCCAACCAATACTATTTAAAAAATACCAAACTAAACAACCCACCCAAAAAACCAAACAACAAACAAACCCAAAACAACTGTCCTTAGAAGTTGAAAATATATTCTTTTATGTTTGTGACTGGGTCTCCAGTGTTATTTCTCTGTGTTCTAGGATCAGCATACTGGAGAATAGAAAATTAGTCGCATACAGTATTACAAACAAAACACATTGACTATTTGTCAGTAAAAGATTTGGTGGATTGAGGACTTAAAAAAGTTCACTGCAACCCTGCAGCTGCAAATAGACAAATATGGAAGAAGAGAGGAGAAACCCTGATGCTTAAAAATTATTAGAGTAAGAAACATTCTTACAGCAAATGGCTTCAAAGCAATTGTATCGTGGATTTATGAGTACACACACAACCTTTTTTGGAACTGCAGACTCCTCAAGCATTCCAATGGAGATACAGCCTATATATGGTGAATTTGAGTGTACTACCACACCTTTGCTTTTCTTACTTAGTTTTGTGAAATCCAGAGGATCTTCTGATAAAGGTTGAATGAACATTGAAACAATTTTCACATGCTACTGGATTATTAAGAATCACATGCTACTGGATTATTTTCACTGGTTTTGGAGCTAGAGACTTCCTCAACATTCACAAAATCTCTTAGTTATTAGTGGAAATATTTATATTCTTTTTCATAGTGGGATCCTTAATAGTAATGTTAGTTTTCATTGAGCCAGTGCATTCAATGTAAATTTCATTTTAATTTTTTAATAAATGCTTTGCAGCATTGGAAGAACATTCATATGACCCAGCACAAGTAGTTAGAATGTTAATGTGACTAAATGCTATTTCTTTTTAAACAATGAGGTTTCACCCTTGTTGTATTGAAAAGCTACAATGCAGTCTTTGCCTACCTAGTATGTGTGGGCATTGGAAATTACAGCTTCTTTGACACAGCTGTGATAATTAAAAAGTTACAGAAACACATGTAGCTTCCTTTCTAAAAGTGAGTAGGTAGCACTTGAAAATAATACACAGAAGTCACAGTGGCCAAGTTAATTTCAAGACTCTGTAACCCACTAAACCACCAGATACTAAACATGCAACCACAGCTGTAATGCCAAAAGGCATTATTGCATACTATGGATCCTAATTCTGATGGTACCCAGTAGCCACACATGTGAAATGAATGCCAGAATGGTTATTTAATTAGGACTTGGAAGAAAGCCAATGATTTATGATTGCTGAGTACCTTGGCTTGAACCACTCACTACCAGCAAAGTTTAAGGGTAGCAATTACAGAATCACAGAATCAAGTAGGTTGAAGAGGACCTTGGAGATCAACCTATGACCTAACATCATCTTATGAAATAAACCATGGCACTGAGTGCCACATCCAGCCTTTTTAAAAATATCTTGAGGGACAGTGACTCCACCATCTCCCTCAGCAGCCTATTCCATCGCCCAATCACTGTGAAGAAATTTTTTCTAGAGTCTAGCCTAAACTCCTCTGGCACAGCTTGAGGCTGTGTCCTGGCTGTGGTTGTCTAGGAAAGAGACCAACCCCCACCTGATGGCACCCTCATTGCAGGCAGTTGTTGGGAGCACTGAGGTCTCCTCTAAGCCTCCTTTTTATTCCGGGCCAAACACCCCCAGCTCCCTCAGCTGCTCCTCCTCAGACTTGTGCTCCACACTCTTCCACAGCTCTGTTGCCCTTTTCTGGACATGTCTGAGTATCTCAACATCCTCTCTAAACTGAGGGGCCCAGAACTGGACACAGGATTCCAGGTGTGGCCTCAGCAGGGCCCAGCACAGGGGGACAATTCCTGCCCTGGCCCTGCTGGCCACAGCATTGCTGATCCAGGCCAGGATGCCATTGGCCTTCTTTGCCACCTGGGCACAGCCTGGCTCATGTTCAGCTGCTGTCACCAGCACCCCCAGGTCCCTTTCTGCCTGGCCCCTGTCCAGTCACTCTGTCCCCAGCCTGTAAATCTGCAGGGAATTGCTGTGGACAAAGTACAGGACCTGGCACTTGGTCTTGTTATACCTCAGATTGTTGGGCTCAGCCCATCTATCCAGCCTGTCCAGGTCTCCCTGCAGAGCCCTCCTACCCTCCAGCAGATCAACACTCACACCCAGCTTGGTGTCATCTGCTAATTTGCTGTGGTAGACTCAATCCCCTCATTTGAATCATCAGAAAGGAAAGTAAACAGGACTTAATCCAACACAGATTCCTGGAGGACACCGCTGGTGACTGATTCCCAGCTGGATGCAGCACCATTTGCCACCACTCTCTGGGCCCATCCCCAAATTACTATTTGGGAAAGGCCAGAGAATACATTTTGTTCTGTTATGGTTTTTTTTTATTGTTCTCTTATCCACTTCTGTGCTAGCAATCTATGAAAAACTATAAATCTATGAAAAATTGTATGCAGCCTGTAAATTTTCAGGTAAAATAGCATGTTTACTACTCTCCAGCTTACCTAGGCTCCAGTGTCTCCAGTAAGGACCTGGACCCATTTAATCTGTTTTCCTGACAGTGATGGTTGTAGCTTTGCCCATCATTCTTCAGAAGTTTTCTTTGTCCTCCCTGTGTCTGCCACTTCAACAAGTCCAGAGTAGTTCCTCAGTGGGCTCATTCTGGTAAAATAATAAGCCCACTCATTTGCTTGGGGAAAGCTTTGTGGAAGAAAGTTAGAGCATAGGTCTTACAAGAGGTGGCTTAGGGAGCTGAGGATGTTTAGCTGGAGAGAAGGAGGCTCAGAGAAGGGATCTTGTCGCTCTCTGTAACTGTCTAAGAGGATGTTGCAGTGAGATGAGGGTCAGTATATTCTTTAAAATTTGGGTGTTTAAGTGGTAGGTGCTGCTGCCTATCTCTTGTCCCCAGCAAGCCTCTCCTGTCAAAAGGCAAGCTGAGTTAACATTCAGGCAATGCACTCTAACCTCCACTCAACACTCACTGCAGCTGGCTCAGCAACAGAAGCAAGAAAGGCTCTTTTGCAAGGTTTTATTCCAGCAGAATAACACAGTATCTGAAGGCAAACCCAGGGAAAGAGGACGAACTCCGTGGAGCAGTCATTTTATAAAGGGGAAGGGGTGGGGGGCAGAGCTGAGGGCTGGGCAGAGGGAGGTTTAGATTGAATATCTGGAAACATTTCTTCCCAGGAAGGGTGGTCAAGCCTTGGAACACACTACCCAGGGAACTGGTTAAGCCACCATCCCAGGAGGCACTTAAGGATGTGGTTTAGCGGTGGGCTTGGCCATATTAAGTTTTCAGTTGGTCTCAATCCTAAAGGTCGTTTCCAGCCTCACTGATCTGTGATTCTGTGAAGCACTGGAGGGGTCTCTGAGGATGTGTGATGGAAATGACCATTTCTAGCACAGCAGGTTGTTTTTAGTTTTATTATCAAGCTGGTGCTTCTGCTGTAGAATTGAAATAGTTATGAGGATAAGATTATTCCCATCCCAACACCACTGGCATGGAGTGATTTATCTTAGCAGTCTTCTACAAACAGTGCTCAAAGTGAGTGGTGTAAGGTGTCACTATTTTCATTATCCAGGTTCATACAAATTCCATCAACATTGTACCAGAACTCATTTAACCTCATTCAGGTGGCAGACACATAGCACCACTGAGTGAGAGAAACAGGCAAGCCACAAACCTATGACACTGGGCCAAGAGTATCTTCTGTAACCAGAGGTCTTTCATGAAGGGCTTCATTATTTGACAATTTTTGTAGCAATAACTGCAGTTGACTTGAGTTGACAGGATGCCCCTGTGTTCTCTGCTTTCCAGACAGCTCTGCTCAAATGCAGATACTATTGTGCCATAAAAGTGACTAAAAGGGTTAAGGCTCTGAGCTTAAAGGCTTAGATTCTGGGGGAATTTGTAGATATTTGGTAGACATTATTATTCACTTGTTAACTAATGCAGAATAAGCCTCTACAGTATTGTTGTTGCTGCAATGTCCTGTTCCAGGGTGAGTCCTTGTTTGTTTTGTGTCTGATACAGTATTAATTTTCAGAGCTAACTACTGCAGTGTAGTCTGACTTTAAGCACTAAATTAAAAATATGACAAATTAAAATAATAAAAACTCCTCATGCAAGAAGAAACATCTACTCTGGATACCAGAAAAATACATGTATACTAACCTAGTTTTGTGCTGTATTAGAGACTGAGTATTACTTTCCTTTTTATGTAAATATAGAATGATAAAGTACTGTAACCTTACAGTATAATATCCCATGCTATAAATCATGATGATGATGTGCTTCCAGGCCTACAGTTGTCTAAGCTTTCACCATGTCTAAATTCTCACTAATGGTGACAGTGATCATCCAGAGCTATGCTGACAGTGAAAAAGCAGCAAAAATTTAATTATAAAATACCTTGTCTTTTGTGGTCCTGAGCTTTCACATCTGCAATTTCACTCCACATAACATATATTGAAGCTAAGAATATTGATGCTAAGAACACTACACTAACCACTTGAACAGTACTATAACACATGGAATCAAGTATCTTACATGTTTATTTGTGTAAGAAGGTTTCTGCAGTCACTGTTTTTTAAACTGCTTGAAGAGGTCAGAGAGTACAACTAGATAATTGTTGTAGGACCATTCTAACTGAAATAAAAATCTCCACAGGAGAGCCAACCAAAAACAGATACCACAGACATCTGTATTTCCCTAACCCGAAGACCTGAACATGGTATGTCTCTTGTATTGCAGAGTAAGTACATTATTCCAACTAAACCTCCTTTTTGGCTCCATGAAACTATTTAGTAAATGTGCTTTTTCTATTTCTCTCCACATAAAAGGTTCTTTCTTTGCTCCCAAAGTATACATCATAATGAGATGGGTTTTGAATTTGTTTCCAATCTCCACACCAGGATTTTATATGTATCTCTTATTCTCCCAAATGTACTGTTTATGGCCATTGTGCAAATATTGCTCTAATGAGATCAATTAAGAATTACATATATTTTGAACTTTATAACTGAAAGTAGAATGCATCTATACCTTCTATTTAATATCCATGGGTGGAACTCTCCTGTTCTGCTATATGAATTGTCTGTAATAAGATGTCAGGCAATGGCTAGTAGAGTGGAGTTGATAATCACCAGGTTAAAAGCCCAATCTGTCTCTTGAGTTTCATGTTTCATGTACTGGAACTGCTTACAAGGCTTTAGTTTGGTTCTACTTGCTTACTTTATACATATTTTATCCATAACAGAATAATACGTATTGGTTTGTTAGATCCAGAGTACAAAAAGAAGAATTTGGTGTTTACAGGGATGAGTAAAACTATTGAAGGTATGCACCAGAAAAATAAGTTTCTTTGGCCAGAAATGAAAGAAATACTGTAAGTAATGAGCATGGATAATTATTTTATTCTGGAAAAGGGCAAATTATGACTACTTGATAAAGATTATATATCAGGACTTCATTGTCTGTAACAGCATTTCAATAGCACTACTTGATATTATCAGTAAAAATAGCTCCACTAACAGCAGGATCATTTGCATTCTCTTAAATTCAATTAGGCAAAGTCACCAAATTAAAGTTCAGAAAAAGAAGAAAGATATTTAAAGGGCTGTCCAAAGTTGTGCAGTCTCTAGGGTGTGCTTCTCTTACCTCTTGTTTCAATTGCAAGATTTAACAGCTATGAGTGCACATTGCTTTGTGGGACAAGAAGGAATTTTAAGTGCTAAGAAAAAATACAGTGCATAACCCACAGTGAAATACAGGTTTGTTCCTGGTAATCTTAACAGACAAAGAGACAGTGAATATAAATAAGGAAAATTAATAAACTAGGTTTTGTTTTGGATTCTCACTGAATCAATGAAGTGGGGATATGGAATTTCTCCGAGTTTTTGTGAGCATGGCTATTCTATAATTCTATCATTCATGCTGCCTGATATGAGTGGAAATATTTGCGTGAATGCCAATCATCCTTCACTTTTAATGAGAAAATTTTTTAAAATATCCATCTATGGATTCTCTGGTGCTTATGATACAGTTGATCAATTTCTTTCTCCACAAAGCAATTTTAATAAAATACTCCTTAAACTTGAGACAACAACAATAAACTGGGTCTTCTACAATAAGTGCAGACCATTAATGGTTGGAGATTTCATGACTGAGAAACTCTTGTAAGCCTGAAAATGGTTGAGACTCCTTGCATTGTGGAGATACATGATGGAGTTGCATAGACAGCATATTGAGGAAGACCCTTTTATCCCCTGTATTCTAGTGGCTCCTCTTCCAGGCAATCTTGGGAGGTATGGATACTTGAAATCCATGTTCAGCTCCTGAAGTCTGTTTAACAGTTATTGTCATTGCAGTGTGAAAATATATCTGCAATTACACCTCATCACAAATTTTGGATGGGTTTTTCTGAATGTGTGGGCAATTGTAGGAGGAAATAGCCTTAATTTCATACAAGTAACAACTCCAATACTGTTAATGAAACTTATTATCATCTTCACTTACACAGCACTATTTATCTACAATGAATAAAGGTGTAAAGTTCTGGAATGTAAAGCACTAATGGTGTTTTTCATGGATCAATAAGCAAACTTTAGATTCCTAATTTGAAGCGGTGGACACTTTTGCTGTAATTTTTTTTTTGGCGAAGAACTTACTGGATCTGAAAATCAGATCCGAAGCTGGTCAAAGGGAGTAGAGAATTTTTCTGATGTCTACAATGACATTGTGCTTAGAGTGGAAACCTTGAATGGCTCCTGAATGCCCTGGAACAAAATATCATGCAAGAGGTACTTTACTGAAAGATTTTTCATGTAAATCACTAAAGGTTTTGGCGTGTGAAGATGAACTTTTCCACTGGACGACTGTGTTGAAATAGCTAATCTTATAATACAATCAATCTATTTCACCAAGGAAAGTTACTATAGTGGAGATAATTATTGTCACAAGCTCACTGTCCCATATGGTCCTAGTGGCTCCACTGACGTACAACAAGACTTGGAACTTCATTTTATGGTAAGGAAAATAATGAAGATGCTTCAGGTTTAATTGGCTTGTCCCATGAAATTTGGTCCAGATGGCAGAAGTACCACCTGGCTTTGTTTGAGGTAGTCCTGGGAAGCAAACAAAACCTTCTGCACAGTTTGTGCTGGCTTACTGCTTAGTTCCATTTTCAGACGAGGATGAGCAGTTCTTTCAGGTGTGCTCATTGCCAGACCCATCAGGGCTTTCTGACTAAACTCCATGCTGGCATAGTCACTCAAGAGTGGTACTTCCATGGAAATGGTGTCTTCTTCACTTGTCACTGCTTCTGCAGGGATTTCTTCATGCCTTGGACTCATGTCTATGCTATTGCTAGGTTTTTCTGACTGGCAGGTGTCATGCTTGTTGTCTTCTCCACCATCTATGGAGAGATCTAGGGTCAGAGGAACCTTTGATTCATGCTCTATGACAAAAAGGCTGGTGGTATCATTGTCTGACAGGGCCTGAAGCAGTGTTCCTGAAACGCGTTTCCAATTAGTCTGTGGGACAAAGCAAGAAAAAAGAATAACATGCTAATTAATCCATTTTAGCACATCTTTGGTTTTAGAAATATAGCTGAAAGTTTAAAGGACCATCATCTCTGGTCCCATAGTATTTAATCAGTTTTTCTTGCTTTTATGTTTACTTTACACCAAAATTAGTGATGATAAAATATAAGCCTCATGATGTGCTGTTCTGAGAACACAGCTTTTAAAAAATTTAGCAAATATATTACTGTGAAAAGGCAGAAATTTGAACAGCAGCCAGAAAACATTAAGCTGTCAGCTGCTATGAACAGTTTGTTATTAAACTTCAAGCCATGCCGTGATCTGAGTATACCTGGGGTAATAAATTTTTTGCAAATTCTGGATGGTTAAATGGAGAACTGTTGGTAAAACCAAGCTTCCTTATTTTCCTCCTAGATTATTCTGTGTTTGCCGTAATGGTTTTTAAACTATGGGCAGGCTGTTATAGCTATTAGACATTCTTCTTTCCTTCCCCCCCTACCTCCCTGTCCCCACCTGCTCTAAACTTGTTTACAATGGGCTTTTTTGCAAGAAATAAGTAAGTGTGCATTGTTTTTTATTTTCTTTCTTCTTACAAGTTGTGATCTGACCAAGAAATGAGAATTTTGTTCTTTGAAGTCTCAGGAATACCAAATAAAATCTCTCTCTTTTTCACTCGTTATGGGATAAGTAGACATCACTACATGGTTAACTTCTGTCTTTTTAAAATAAAGATCTGTATGATATGTATGTTCATTATCGTATTTTTTTTTATGAAGAGCAGCCCAAATTCCCAAAGCTACCAAATCTGAAATAGGTTTTATGTCTACCTGGACTTTGGTAAAGCACATGATACCATTTCCCACGGAGCTCTGCTGGATAAATGGGCTGCTCCTGGCTTAGGCAGTTACACTCTTACTAGGTAAAAAACTGCCTGGATGGCCAGGCCCAGAGAGTGGTGTGAGTGGAGTTACATCCAGCTGGTGTTCAGCCACCAGTGCTGTTTCCCAGGGCTCAGTACTGGGGCCAGTCCTGTTTAACATCTTCACCAGTGATCTCATGGAGGGCACCCTCAATCATTTCACAGGTGACACCAAGCTGGGTGGGAGTGCTGATCTGCTGGAGGGCAGGGAGGCTCTGCAGAGGGATCTGGGCAGGCTGCATCATGGCTGAGGCCAAAGGCCCAGTGCTGGGTCCTGCCCTTGGGTCACACCAACCCCAGACAGCTCCACAGGCTGGGGCAGAGTGGCTGAAAAGGAGCTGGGGGTGCTGGTGGCAGCAGCTGAACATGAGCCAGGCTGTGCCCAGGAGGCCAAGAAGGCCAATGGCATCCTGGCCTGGATCAGCAATGCTGTGGCCAGCAGGGCCAGGGCAGGGATTGTCCCCCTGTGCTGGGCACTGGTGAGGCCACAGCTGGAATCCTGTCCAGTGCTGAGCTCTCAGTTTAGGAAGGACTTTGAGGTGCTAGAGTGTGTTCAGAGGAGGGCAACAGAGCAGTGGAAGGGTCTGGAGCACAAGTCCAATGGGGAGCTGGAGGTGTTCAGTCTGGAAAAAAGGAGGCTCTGGGGGGACCTTATCACTCCCTACAATTGCCTGAAAGGAGCATGTAGCCAGGTGGGGGTTGGTCTCTTTGCCTAGGTAGCAAGTGACAGGATGAGAGGAAATGGCCTCAGGTTGTACTAGTAAAAGGTTTAGATTGGATATTAGGAAGAATTTCTTCTCAAAAAGAGTGGTCAGGCTGTCCAGGGATGTGGTGGATTCACCATCCCTGAAAGTGTTTGGAAAAGGTCTTCCTGTGTCAGTTGGAGACATGGATCATTGGTGAACTGGTTAATGGTTAGACTTGATGATCATGGAGGTCTTTTCTAAACAACATAGCAATGCTAGGATTCTGTCTGAAAGAGGCAATAGACAAAGAAGAAGAAGCATCTTTGAAGAATTTTGGCTATATAGGAAGACCAGGAGACTGGTTTGGGTGACTGACTGACATTTTAGTTCCCCACAGTTCGTTTTTCTCATCTCTGTAATGAGAATATCTTCAGTTCCTCCTGCTGCTCTGTACCATGGGATGTATGATTTATATTTTGTTAAGTAATCCCCTGGATTACTGGACAACAAGTTGTCTTGCTGTCTTTTTTGGATTATTTTTGTATTTTTTGTCACGAGTTGCTAAGTTGCTCAACTAAACTGATGTGGTTCAGTCTTGGAACAACTAGAAATCAAATGAATGTACAGAATATAGAAAGATTTGCTCCCTGCCCCTGTTTTGCCTTACCTTTTTGGGGAATACCTTTCTCCACAGTTCATTAATTGTTCAGATTACCAAATTAATTCTAGACAATGTATCTGCTAAACTGTTTACTGTACTGTCTCCTGACATAGTGCTTTTTCTGCTTTCTTCCAAACGATTATCTGGTGTCTGGTATTTCTTTGTCTAACATGTTGTGAACATTGCAATATTCTCTACCAGGCATGGTTAATACAAACTTCATTTTCTTTGACAGTTTCTTTGCTTCTGCAATAAAAGTTAAAGGCATTTTTAATTTATATATTTTGCTTTTATGCATTTTATGTCAAAATGGCACTGTGGTTCATAAAACCTACTTGTCCTTTCTGTAGCATGCAGTCTCAGCATGTTTCACTTGCATTTCTTCATTGCAAAATGGCTATCTGATGACTAGCTCTGAACTCATCACTTCTTTGGCTGCATTTAGGTGGAAGAAAGCAAGTGAGAAAGTCCTGATCTGGAATATGAAAATTCCTACTTGCTCTGTTGCAGGAAGCAATGTTGATGTTCAGCAAAACTTCTGATTATCAGCAGACTATCAGGGTCTTCTGAAATACTGTTTCTGATTAGTTCACTCGGTATCCCAGTTCTGGACAGTAGATACCTACCTAGCCAATGCCCAAAATTTGATGAGATAGAAGTCTGCTTGTTAAAGTTCATGAGAGGAACTGCTAGATTGTCAAGTGCCAACTCAAGTTCAAGTCTTCCAGAAAAAGAGATTTATAAAGGAAAGCAGTAGGAATTCCTGATACAAAACCATGATCATAGGTGGTCTGAGACTTATGAGATAAACTTATGTGTTCTAAAAGGAGGACTTTTAGTAGCAGATGTCACAAAAACTGCAGCAGAAATCTTGCTAAATGTGGGAAGGCAAGGAGGTGAAGATACAAATAAGTCCACTAATAGGCAAAAGTGGATAATGTGGTCTCCAACAGTTGATTCTAATAGCTGTATTTTTTCCTAACAGCTGATTTTCCTGCTTATTTAGTATTGAAATTCTGGTATACTTAGCAAAATAAAGGGGAAAGCTGTGGGCAAGATGTGAGCATGCTGCTGAACCTTGGGGCCTATAGGTAGATAGGTGCTCCTCAGACAGCCACCAGCTGCCAGACAGAACCCCTGGATTGCTTTGGAGGCAAGCTGAGGAGCAGACTTCAGAAAACACCATGTTACATGGCCTCTCTCATTAGACTTCTCTGGAATTAGGCCACAATCCACTACTTTGTAATTTGAACAACTTGTACTTAATAATCAGTTTGAGTTGGTGAAAACTGACTTAATGGTTAGACTTCATGGCACTTCATTTTATGGTAAGGAAAATAATGAAGATGCTTCAGGTTTAATTGGCTTGTCCCATGAAATTTGGTCCAGATGGACAAAAAACCTCTGAATTTCTCTCTTTAGACTCCATCTACCTCCATTCAGCTTTGATTTGTTCTTTTAAGGATCATGTCTTTAAAAATGCTTTACAATGTACTCAAAAACAGTCTGAGACCTTTATTAAATTTTAAAGTGTATACAGCCTATGCCTAAATAGAAACTATCCCCATCCTATATTTTGAATATTACTCTGGCTTCCAAGCAGCTGATATTAGACATTCTCTTGAGTAAAGTGTCAAAGGACAGATAACTAGCACTATAGCTTAATTGAAGATCTCCCCTCTGTATTTTTTTCATGCTGTCAGAAGAGTACTCACCATATCCTGGAGTGCAGTGCTGTTTCCTGGGGTGGGTACACTGTGCCAATATGATATTTTCAGCCTGTAAAGAAGTGCTTTCCATTTAACATCAGGTTAGATGACTGACATTTCCTATGCATCTAAATTAGTTTTTGCTCATACATAACATATTGACATTTTTGTAACCATAAAAAAAGTGTTCTACAGAGACATTTAAGCATAATGCTCATTAAAAGCTGAAGAACAAACTTGGTTGTCTATACTGAAATACTGAGTTAATGATGATTAACATCCTTATTTAATGACAAAGGAGCTGTGAAAGTACTGGCAATGTTGTCTCTTTCTGTACTTTTAATGTATACATCTAATATTTCTATACATCTAATTTGTTATCATTTCCACAAATCCTCCATCTTCCTTGAGGTCTTTGGGATATAAAAAACAAAGCTTGTTTTAGTAAGTATTTGCTCCTGGGCTTTGATTTAAAAGTTTCCTTTCCCCTGAAAACAAAGAGCAAGATGCTTCTGCATTCAGCCCCTGTGCAATGGCACCGTTAGTCTGGAAGAAGCTCTAAGGAGACAACACAACTCCTGCTCTTTCCTGATTGTTTTGAGTTTGGCTCTTTCTGGGAGCTATCACATACAGTATCTCACCTCCATAAAAAAAGCCTCAACAAAGCTGTAAGAGAGGCTGAGACTTTAAGTAGTCCAACACTCTGCCTTAGTGTTGGTTTCAGTATTTTCCTGTTTTGAAAGTAAAGCTAGACTTCATTAGCTTTAGGGTACTTTGCCTCTGCTTAGGCTGTGGTTGGAGGTGAAAACTGTGGCTGTAAAGTTACTGAATCTCCTGCTGATCCTGTGAAGATGGGTGTTTGGCTGGCTGGTGATGCCTTTCTTAAAAATCAAGACAATTGAGACGAAGGTTATCACTGGGACCCTTTATCTCAGTTCAAATGTTCAATATTACTACAAATATACAAATTTAAGCACTATTTTGTAGTCCCACACTGGGCTTCTGGGTGCTGCCTGGTTGTTTTGTGTTTTGTTTTACTTTTTCCCCCTTTCTTCTTTCCTATTGAGCCCAGACAAAGAGGTGTAGTCTTATAGTGAACAAAATGAAGTTTACTCTAGGTCAAAACTAGGTTACTCTCAGAAGTTCCTGCCAAAACTGTTGTATCAGACACAGTGCAACTTAGAATACCACCTGAAAAGGCAGAGTCTGTTTCCCAGTGGCAAGGACAAGTGTTAAAAGCTAAAGCAGGCTATGTCATGCTGTGTGGCTCTCAAGCCACAGGTTGTGCCAACTGTCCTTCAGCAGTTGTGCTTTCAGCTTCTGAGGCCAGTGCTTTGTGAAGAAGAGTAAAAGGGAAGGTAGTGTTCTAGGACACCAAATAGTAACATGAGTGGTTGTATGCAATTAGGTTTGTCAGAAAATTATTATTGGAACCCATTACTATGCAAACTTTCTAGTCATAGTGTATGCTCCTGATATTGTACTTCAGATTATTATGTGGGGGTGAATAGTTTATTATTGCAGAAACCAATTTTTCATAAAATAAGAGGACCATTGCCAGAACTTACAGTCACCCTTATTATTCTCTCTTGTTCCCACTCATTTATTGTTCCTTGTCATTATGTGCTTATATGCATACTTTATAAGTTTAATATCCAAATGTGTTTACAAGAAACATCTTAGATAAAATTTATCAAATGCATGCTTTATCTGTATGTATATAGCATATGTCCCAGTGTGAGAAATGGTCCTGTCTCTTTCTAAGAGTGTTTGTGACAGGAGTTAGTCAGATAAAGGAACCAAAATCTAAAGAGTACAGATTTTTTACAGATTTGTTTTACCATTTAAATTAGCTTATATTGGCTTGTAATTGCTCTCACTGTGAGATTACTGTGGTGCTTTTGGTGTTGTGCATTTTTTGAGCTGTGTTGCCTTTAATGACAAGAAAGGCCTGGTGTCATTGAAACTCAGAGCTAAGCAAAACAAGAGTGCTGCTAGCAACTCCAGCCAATATTCTGTTCTTACCTTTTAATCACCAGAGAACAAGTGAGAGGTGCAAAAACCAGAATGAGTACCATGCTGAAACAAAGACCAATCACAAAACCTTCAAGTTCTCCTTTATCTGATGGGAAACAGAAAGCTTGAATCAGATTTATGGCTTTAAGTACAGAAAGACCTTATTAACTTCATGAGAGAAATATTTCAAACAGAAGTCAAAGCCAACTTTACGCATTGTTCTGGAATTTAAGTAAAATTTAGTTAAAACTAAAGCTGGTATTCTCAGGGGAATGTGGGCTTTTCAGGTTTGTATTTTTAAGCTATATAGGTATCATAGAATCACAGAATGGTTGGGATTGGAAGGGATCTCTGAAGCTCATCTATTCTAATCCCCTACTAGCAGGTTCACCTAAAGCAGGTGAGACAGGATTGCATCCAGGCAGGTTTTGAGTATCTGTATGTAAGAAGACTCCCCAGCCTCTCTGGTCAATATCACCCTCACAGTAAAGAAGTTCATCATGTTCAGGTAGAAATTCCTGTGTCTCAGTTTATGCTCGTTGCCTCTTTTTGTGTCATTGGGCACCCCAGAAAAGGGTCTGGCCCCATTTTCCTGACATTTGCCCTTAGGGTATTTGTATATATTGCTGAGGTCCCCTCTCTGTTGCCTCTTCTCCATGGTAAAAAGGCCCAGCTCTCCCTGCCTTTCCTTGCTAGCAAGGTGCTCCAGCTCCCAAAACACCTTTGCAGCTCTTCACTGGACCCACTCCAGGAGCTCCATGTCTCCGCTGTCCTGAGGAGCCCAGAACTGGACACAGCACTCCAGGTGAGGCCTCAGCAGGGCTGAGTAGAGGGGCAGGATCACCTCCCTCCACCTGCTGGCAATGCTCTTCCCAATGCCCCCAGGATACCATTGGCCTTCTTGGCCACCAGGACACACTGCTGGCTCATGGAGAGCTTCTTGCCCACCAGAACCCCCAGGTCCTTCTCCACAGAGCTGCTCCCCAGCAGGGCAGCCCCAGCCTGTGCTGGTGCCTGGGGTTGTTGCTCCCCAGGTGCAGGGCCCTGCACTTGCCCTTGCTGAATTTCAGATGGTTCTTTGTCCATCTCCACCTGCCAAGTGGTTTATTTCCTCCCCGTGCTGTTATGTGAGCTCTAACTTGTTTAACAGGTCAGGACCCTCATGCACATCTAACATTATAAGAAACTATTTAAATGAAAGTAGCTTTTTATTGATTTCAGGATTTACTGGTAGTGTTTGGGGTTTTTTTGTTGGTTGGTTTTCATTTTTGTTTTCTGGGGATTTTGCTTGTTTGTTTGTGGGGTTTTTATTTGATTGGGCTTTATTTTGTTTTAGGGTTGTTTTGAGAGGTCGTGCCTGGTCCTGATAGCAATAACACAGCTTGTGTATTTAGATATTGTCCATGCTTTAACTTTTAAGATCATTAAGACCACTTTATCTGTAATCAGTCATTTGTCAAGCCTTGAAGCAAACCTATGTCTCATATTGCCTCTTAATACTTGCTTGAGATATTTTCTATCAAGATCCCACCTACCTACAGAGGAGAAAGTGTTTGAGAGGTTAATGAATGTTGATAAAATGCTCAGGCTAACACAAGAACCAAAGCTGACTGTGATGTTAAGAGGGAGTCAGTGTAGATGTCTTTGTTATAGATTTTTGATGTCTCCTTCGTTATAGGAGACAGCAAAAGTTTAAAAATAGTTCTTGTATAGTGTGGCCAGTTCATGATTGTGTTACTGATATTGACAAACCATATTTGCAAAAAAAAAAAAAAGCCACTTGCTTTTTCTTTTCCTACCCATCCCCCAACAATAGTCCTTTTTTTTTTTTTTTTTTTACCAAACAGCTACCTAATGTTCAAAACTAATTTGGAAAGCTGCAAACTGCTCCGTTGCTTAAATTTGTTCTTTATAGCAAAGAAACCTGAGATACTTCTAATGGATGAAACCTGTGAAATGTTTGGGAAGAGCAAAAATAGTAAATGTAATATTTAAATTCAGTGTAATTACTTGATTTTTAAAAATGTTGTGTTAATTTCACTCTGCATTTTTGTTACTTCACTGAAAAATTGAATACTTTTCAAATACATACTTGGTAGGCTGAATGAAATAGAGTCTTGAAGAAAGCTCTAGGGAGAGGCTTTAATATTTTGTGTTGACAGGAGAAAGTTTTCAGTGGGGGGAGGAGGGGTGCAAATCCTGTTGATTTCAAGGAAGATTTTAAATTTCTTTCTTTTTATCTCTTTACATTTTTGACTATTTATTTGTATGGTTTTATATCTCTTTCACTTAACGCAAAAAAGCTACTCTGGGGAGAAACCATTTGCATACTTCTGTTTCTGAATATCACAGGTTCCTGATACCATCTTAGCATGTTCTTTTATTTTTCTATTTAGAAATCTCCATTAAGGGAAGCTGTGGTCAAACAAAAAAAGTCTGTTGCAGCGTTAGTTTTAGTTTAACTGAGGAGGTGTTAAAAATGTTTGAAAGACTAAGTTTAGCCAACCTTATATGATTTGAAGATTTTTAGACTTTTTAAATGTCACTGTATTGGTCTTAGCCTATCCAGGCACTTCTGAGAACAGTAAACTTTTGTCAGTGACCTAAAGGACTTGTTACTTAGAATGTACTTAAATTATCAGAAAGCAAAAGATATTTTAGTTAGTGTTCACCCACACTAGGAGCAATTGAAAGGTACTTAATCTTTTATTTTTGCAGTTAATGGCTCAGGAAGCCAATTTTACATGACTGCTCAGGATTTTGCCAAAAGCAGATGATTGAACATTACTAGTCACAGGCAGAAATTTCATCTGATGAAATCTAAAGAGTAATTGTCAATAAATAAATATATGTGCACATAGCTAGGACAAAATGTCAGAAAAAGTTTCAGAGATGAAGAACCCTAGCTAAGTTCCCTGTATATTAGGTAATAAAATACAGGTAATATACAGATAATTAAATACTTTGTTCTGTGATACAAAGTTTATCTTGCAGAGGACCAATTTTTTGTGTTTGTTCTCAGTAACTGAGGATTGACTAATAAACCTTGTGAGGTTTATTATTGAGAGGACATAAAGCAAAGATTCATGCTGGATAATGAAGATGCAAAGGGGTTCCACAGTACCATATTTTGGAGTGCTGAAAGGCTGTGAAAGAGTCTGAGGTCCTTCTCCAGCACTAGTGAATCCTGAAATCTGCACACGATAGGTGGTCTTTTCCTTCAGTCCGGTAAGATGGTAACTTGTGATAGAAGCGTTGAGAGTAACAGCTGAAACACAAAAGGTTTTAGGAGGAGATGATTAGATGAGCTCTCATGGCTGAGCAGGTATCAGTGCAGCTGACTGGGCAAACAGCAAAATTTCAGTGCCCTGATCCTCATCTGGAGCAAACCAGACTGTACAGATGCTCTTTGGATGGATACAAGAGTTACCTAAAATATTTATGTACATTTAAAATCCAGCGGTTAAAAGCATGAGCTTTTGACACTCCAAGGCTGTATTGGGTTTGTATGGCCAAGTTTTGGTGGCAGGGGTGCTGCAGGAGTGGCTTTTGTGAGAAGTTGCCAGAAGCTTCCCATGTCCAGCAGGGCCAATCCCAGCTGGCCCAGGATGGAGGTGCCCCTGGCCAGGGCTGAGCCCATTAGAAATGGCTCTGTGATAACAGATCTAAGAAGGAAAAAAAAGTTACTCTGCAAATGTAATTGCAGCCAGAGAAGAGCAGTGACAATATGTGAGAGCACAGCCCTGCAGACACCAAGGCTGGTGAAGGAGGGGCAGGAGGTGCTCCAGGCACCAGAGCTGAGGTTCCCCTGCAGCCGTGGTGGGACCGTGGTGAGGCAGCTGCGGCCCTGCAGCCATGGAGGCCCCAGGGGATGCAGAGATCCATGTGCAGCCCCTGGAGGGGACCCAGGCCAGAGCAGGTGGATGTCTGAGACAAGGCTGTGACCCTGTGGGAGGCCTGGGCTGGAGCAGGGTCCTGACAGGGATCTCCAGACCCATGGAGAGAGGAGCCCATGCTGGAGCAGGTCCTGGTAGGAGTCGTGACCCTGTGGGGGACACACACTGGAGCAGGCTATGCCTGAAGGACTTAATCCTGTAGGAAGTAAATAACGTGGATGCTGGAGCAGTTAGTGAAGAATGGTAACCCATGGGCTGTACTCATGCTGGAGAAGTTCATGGGAGAGCTGTCTCCCATGGGAGGCAATCCATGCCAGAGCGGGAAAAGGACTCTTTTCCCTGAGCAATGGCAGAAACAATCTGTGATGAACTGACTGTAACTCTCTCTGTGTCTCCCTGGTGGGGAAGAGCTGGAGGTGGGAAGGAGGGAGTGGTGGAGAAAGGTGTTTTAAAGATTTGTTTTACTTATCGTTATCCTACTCTGAATTGCGTCAGCAATAAATTCCATTAATTTCCCCAAGTCAATTTTGTTTTGCTCATGTGGTAATGTGTGATCTCTCCTAGTCATTATCTCAACCCGTGAATGTTTTGTTACATTTTCTCTCCCCTGTCCACCTGCAGAGCCAGAGTGGCTCTGGCTTCCAGTGGCTCTGGCATCCAGCCAGGGTCAAACCATCGCAGGTGATGAACACAGAAGGCTGCTTATACTTCATGAGAGGAAAATACATCTAAGATGCTGAACAGTTGTTCTTATGCTGAATGTAAGAGTTAACATTAGGACTAGCCCTCTTCACATACTTTACTCTCAATCCAGTTGTTAGTAGTGGTTTAGCTTGATTTATGCCAGTGCTATTACTCATCATTCAGTACAGAAACAGGGCTGTGCTTTCTGCTTTATCTGTTATGTGGAGCTTTCAGCTAAACCTGCCTTTTCTGATAGTGCAGTGACTTTTCCCTTGGCCAGAATAATGTACAAGCTGCCATGTTGTAAGGATGCCTTTGGGACAGAAATTACTCCTCAAGTTTGCCACTGTGGATTTAAAATCTTCACAGAAGGGGATGTGATGCTGTAGCCTATGGACTTCCTTCCCCCAAATTCTCCAGTAAAATTATGCTTCCTGCCTGGAAAAAATGGCTCTTGGATGCCATGTCACTGCTGTCTTAACTGGTTAAGATAGAGAAAAAAAAATTAAGTTCAGCCCTGGATGTTCCCATTCTGCCTGCTCTTGTGATTTCAGATAGGTATTTGAAGTGGAATAGAATCTCCAGAAGACCTTTTATGATTCTCTAAAGGCATAGGTCAACATGCATTATAGAACTTTTATTATCTCCCTTTGTCAGGTCTTACTTGATATTTGTCTTCCCTAGAATGTCTTCAATTTTATTTGAAATCCAGTACGTACAAAGTTAATGTATGATTACTTATGGCAAAGCGACTTTCCACTCTAGACCAGAAAGAAAATGTTTATCAAAAGAATATGGGGATTTTTTAAAATTGAAAACTCAGGTGGTCTGAATTCACAGCTATTAATTTATTTCTATTTGCAGAAGTTTCGTCATTTGTAGTTTGTTAAGGTTGGAAAAGATCTCTAAGGTTATCCAAACTCAGTAATAAAAACTACCAATTTAATAAAATGTTTCCAAAATTAAATTTGTAATGGTGTATTTAGAAACATAAGAAATGCAAACTGCTAATTGAGTTGAAAAATGAAATATGAAATGTCTTGCATCTTATAGAAAGGCTCTGAATCAAGCTTGGATGAAGTGCTATGAAACATAAGTCATTTGCTTACATAACATAATATTTGTTTGTGACTGAAATCGTAATAGTGAAAATGTGTGTCTTCCTTTAGGCGCTCCTACAAAATTCTGCTGTAGTCTCAGAAATGTAATTTTTATGGAAATAGCAATATTTAATTTGAGATAAAAATTAGAAAATTCTAAGTGCTCATGGGAGCATCTAGAGCATTAAGAGTCTAACCAGGAGCTGACCTTTGAGAGCAGAGCACTCAATTTGTACAGAAATCATAAATAACTCAGTAGACTACATGGTCTGAATGAAGCTCTTCTTTCATGACTCTGAGCTGCTGCTTTGTTCTGGCAGTAGTGACTTACCTGGAGACTTTTTCGTTGATGAATCTGTGTAACTGATCCTGTATCCCTGGAGAAAGCCCAGACGGTCTTCTGCAGGTATTTCAGTCCACTTCACAAGTGCAGAATGCTTTGTGATATTCAGAATTGTCACATTAGCTGGACCAGTCCTAGGAACTTGAAAAAATCCAGATATTTGAGTTCTGCATCAATACCTGTGCAATGGACATACGAGACTGAATCCCAGCTCTTTCCAAGAGAGTTCTAGTCAAATTCTAGAGGCTATAAATGCAATGTAAAGGGTGCACGAGAAACGCAAAGTGCCAGATAGTAAAAACCTCTCACCTTAATACCAAAGTAGGTAGAAATTGTGACTGTCTCATTATGAATATTTTACTCCAATAGCAACAACTTTCATTTCAACTTGCAATATGAGACACTATGAAATTGGGATTGGAAAATCTGATTGAAATGGTATTTGAGCCACATGGGTCTGAGACCATCTTTCTGTTATTTTTGGTAATGTCACACATAATAAAAATATTTCTGTGGATGTGTCAGTAAGGAACAGCATTCAGGTTGTTCACTGCCAGGACATGACTGCTAAGAATAAAGGCAATGCTATCTGGAGAAAGTTGTTCAGTCATTTGGAAAAGAAATCTTGTGTAGTCTTTTTTTTACTGCTACAAATAGGAAACAAGAAGAAATATAGAGGGGTGGGGTTACACAAAGGGGAAGAATACCTCCTTCAATGAAGTAAAAGTGAGTCACTCCAAAAGTCTTTTCATGTTTTATGAAACTTTCACACTGACACACATCAGATGCATGTACCATTATTTTGTACAACTTATATGGCTGAAAATTGTCTGGAAAACAAATAAAGATATGTCAAGGTCTACTGAAAAGTTATAAATTATAAAGAATAAGAGGAAAATCAACAGCTTCATAGATTTTCTGTATATTTCTTGCTTTCTGAGACTCAAAGCATAGCATAAGAGTATAGCGCTTTCCACTGAGTACAAAATATGTACATCCTTCTTCAGTGCCTCTAGGTGCTTTATGTAAACTATTTCAAAGCCAGAACAGACAAAACTCGGGTTTTCTTTTAGAAGATCACAGCTGTGTTTATAGTTTCCCTACAGGAGACTTTAGCTGCTGAAGGAGAAATTAGGAACTAAAATGGCTGTAGTTATCTTATTTCAGGATAGGTATTTCCCACTCAGCTAGAATGCATAAACCCAAAGAAGAAACCTAGATGTAATGTGACAGTGCTGATATTGCAGAAGGACAAAGGTAAACAGTGCTCTCTAGAAGACTTTGTAGAACTCTGAAGCTAAATGTTCTCCATCACACATAAAAGACAGCTCTGAATGGCCTTTGCAAGAGTTACCTACGTGATTTCAATCAACATTTCAATGTTTGTTCCATATAGAAATCCCTGACTGAAGCCCGTCATGTGTAGCATGGTAAGCAGAATACTGGAGTTGAGAATTTAGGCTTTGACAAGTATAGATACTGGTATAAAACCAGAAATTAACCTTAGGGAGTCTGTAACAGAGCAGTTTATATTGAAAGATAAGCTTACCTAGGTAGAAGATGAAAGCTTTTTTTTAAAGCCAGTAATGTATAGGTCTGTCTGGAATGTGGGCAAGGAGAGACATTGTAGCAGTAGCCTAGCTGCATTTCTTGCCCAACAGTATCCAGAAGAACACTAATTAATACTTCTTTTTATCTGCCCTAATGTTGCTAGGCATTAACTGATGACTTAGTACTGGACAATAATTAAGAGCTGTACTTATCTGGATGAATCTTCAGTTTGCCCTTACAAACAGAACAAAAATTCTACTCTGCCCAACCAAAAATAACCAAGAAATGAAAGGGTGATTCCATAGGAGATGTGGTGGTTGCTGTTACCTAATGTGAAATTTCCAGTAGCCGTAGTTATTATTTTCATGTGCATATTCTCTTTACTAGTGCCCCAGTCAACCACAAAACATTTTGGTTTGTATTCTGGAGTCCATGTGACAACTGCATTTGTTCCCTGGCTTTTGACATGGATTTGACCAGGCAAGTCTGTGAACAAATACACAATTAAAGGTCAATAAACAGGAAAGCAGTTTTCTCCCCTATTGTTTTTTCTTTCTCCCTTTTGCTCTGTTTTTTAAAGATTATTCACTAAGCAAGTATAGCAACATAGCAAATGACTCACTTATCACAGTAAGGTTTACAATAGTATTTCAACAGAAGAAACTTAGCATTTACTACTTTACAGTGGTAGCTGGGAATTACAGTGTGGATTGCTGTACGAGAGTTTTCCTGATTTCTGATTGCTTGAAATTAAGTGGTTGTTCCAAGGCTCAGGAGAAAGATGTCAGGTGCTGCTAAATAACCTGTGAGCCCCTAGCAGCTGCTACACATGGAGTAACTCTGAGACAGTGCTTGCCTGAGCACGGGTGGAGGAGAAGGGGCTAATGATAGATCACAGCTAAATGATTTCATATTTCATATGTTTTGAATTTTCTGAAAGGATCTTGAAGATTTTGACATTTTTAAAGACAGGCTACAAAACTAGGAAGGACCTTCTGACTGACACTAAGGAGGGAAAAGGGCAACCTGCCATTTTGAGGTAAGAAGTGAGAGACATAAACATTCTCCATTCTGTCTCCTGTCTGGAAACAAATACAAGAAAGGCAAATTTCATTAATTGTGAGGGAGCTGTGGTTGTCTGATGGAGCTAGGGCTGTCTGAGATGGCTGGGATTGTTTATCCTGGAGAAAAGGAGGCTCAGGGGCGACCTTATGACTCTCTACAGCTGTCTGAAAGGAGGATCCAGCAGGGTCAATCTCTTCTCCCAAGCAATGAGCCATGGGACAAGAGACAATCTTAAGCTGTGCCGGGGGAGGTATAGGCTCAACATTAGAAGGAATTTCTTCACAGAAAGAGAGTTTGGGCACTGGAATGGGCTGTGCAGGGTCGTGGTAGAGTCACTGTCCCTGGAGATGTTTAAGGGAAAAGTGGATAATGTGTCACTTTAGTGCCATAATAGAGTCAACAGGGTAATGTTAGGCTGTAAGTTGGACTCAATGATTTCAGAGGTCTTTTCCAAAATAGTTGATTCTGTCATTCTGTAAAGAAAATTACTGTACTAGCTGACAAAATGTTGGGTATGCCGAGAAGGAATTTATCTTAAGAATGCACTTAATGCAAGTATCCTCTCAGTAATTAGTGATAGATACAGAGAAGCTGCACTAACATGCAAACAGAACAGGCATCTGGAGAGTGCCATGAAATACAGGCTCAGAGGTTCACTAGACAACTAATTGTCAGTCACAAGGTGGCTCGAACTGGTAGGATGTATTTTATCAGAAGAGAGCTAAGGGACTGAAATGTAAGGGCAAAATCAAGTTGTTACCTCTTTGCAAGGAAAAGGAGAACAGTATGAGGAGAGTGTTAGAAAATTCTGGATAAGCAGTCATTTGCAGCTATCAGAAGATCAATGAGGGTACTTGCACACTTCTGTATTGTGAATGCTACAGCTGAATTTAAAAAATCTGAAATCACATGAAATTAGTTTATATTATAAGGAAGACATTATACAGTAAGTTTTATTCTTTAAATGAAAAGACTGTCTATTAAGGCCTCAAAAATCTTACATCTTCATTAGAATGTGACATGTACATCCCATTGTGACATCTACATCCTATCTATTCTTTTCCTATGTGCCTGTTAGAGTAATACTGAAATAAAGGACAGTAGCAGGTCTCTTAATAGTTATTTAGCTAAAGAACTTAGACTTGCACATAGTTCTGTGAACGTTTTAAACCACTGGCACCTACTTGATAGTGAGGACAATCCATAATACATTCTAGCTTGACCAACAAAGAAGTGCTAAATTGAATATTAAATTGCTAGTCTGTTAACTTCTACTGAAGTATCTTAAGAAACAATTCTGACTCCTAGTATGTAAAAATATTAGCTTAATATATATTCAAGAGAACAGTTTCACCTATCCCAAAGTCCGTGAAAACGTATCCTTAGATATTGGTCATAAAACTTCCCCACCACTATGGTGAATAAGGTAAATACCTGTTACAGGGAATTCTGGAACAATGTAGATAGCTCGTGGAGATTCTCCTGCTTCATTATAGGCAGAAATATTAAGTCTGTAGTAAGCCATGGAGACATTAACAAGAATTTTTCTGTCTTTGAGAGAGATGTGATGTGGTGGTTGGCTGCAACTGTTGGGTATTCTTTCCACATTAACAAAATATCCAAGGATATTCTCACTTTGTGCTACCTAGCAAGAGGAAAAACATTATTATTCTATAAATACTGTTATGTCCTGTGCAGAAAATCAAGAGGAATTTAATTTTATAAACAAAATGTAGCCTTTAATGATGGGGATAAAATCATACTGTTTTAATTAGGTCATTAGGAATCAATAAAGCAAAGCATTTCCTTAAAATTAAGAGCATGCTTAAATTGAGAGGGGTTAAGTACATGATTAAGAATTTTCCTTAACTGAGATCCTAGTTATGTGTATGCAATTAGTAATAACAGCAGTGAAGCAGCTGTAACATTCTCTACATTTCAGTGGAACATATCCCTCATTTTCAGGAACTTGAAAGTTAATGAGAGGTGTTTAATTTAGATTTATGCCTCTGGATATCCTCATCTTCTAGGGCTTGATTAGGTATGTAGTATCTTTAAAGACAAATTCTAGCAATTATGCTGCAAATTTGGAATGTGTTAAATGTCCATTGGTAGCAATTCTTGGTGGTGGTTCACTCATGATTTTACTGTACTAATCTTAATAAGGGATTGGAAAATATGTGCACAGAAATGGAAATTACTGCAATATAGACAGAAAGTTAATACATGAAAGCCTGTGAATACTTCAAGGATTATTTCTAACATCAAGATTGTCTGTTATTTCTGGCACAAAATTAATAGTGTGTAGATACCATGAAGCTGTGAGGCTGGGTTATCTTAATGAAATAACTGGATACTTTTGGAGTAAGATTGACAGGAAGACATTTACTATTTTAAAAGGCAGGTACACCTATCTTGTGAGGAATTTCAGATGAAGATGGAAGCTCTTAAAATAAAAGCATGTTTTTTTCCCTGGAAAAGAAGGGAAGTTTTAGTAATTTTTCAAGAATATAAATTGATATAATTTTTCCCTGTTAGTTTCTAGTTCCTAAATCATCAGCATACAGATGCAATGAATTCTGCAGCAAGTATACAATATCCAATGCCTTTTGCCTATCAAATGTAGACTCGATACAATGGGAAAGTCTGTTTTTCACTGCAATGCAAGAAGTAAATAGCATATACATAACAGAAGGTACCCAGACTGGAAGTGAACCTTACCTCCCACTTCAAGAGAACACTTCTTCTTCCTGGAGAGACTTGTGTAGTTACATTATATGATATTCTTGGCTTGTTCATGAGTTCTGGTAAACATGGAAAAAGATGGAGACATGCACTCAAATGAATAATTCTGATGTTCGTATTTTCAAGAGTATCTGAATATCCTATTCCATATGACACAAAATTTGGAAAAGCCTTTACATTCATACTTACAACCAGTAGGATGAAACTATATTTCACTTACTGTGAGGGACCAAAATCTCCTTGCCCCAAATGCAAACACATTTGAGATCATCCTTGGTTATGCATCTGAGCTGAACAATGTATGAAGACATAGCATTTAAATTTGAAATGGTGACGTTGGAAACATTACTTCCTACAGGCACCTAAAAAAAAAAAATTATGTAATAACAATAAAACATTATCTTATATGAATTATCTTCTCAGCCTAAGACCAGCCTTCTGACTCAACTGAAAGTAGAGGTTCCTGTCATCAAATAGGAATTATTGCACATTTTAGTCAAGCTATTTTCATTCTTTCAAGGCAACACCCTCTTTTTCATGAGCTTGCTCTGCTCACTCAAGACACTAAGTAACCTGGTCTAAATATTACTTTTAAAATCAATTAGACATTACATATACTGAAAAAACTCCGAGCCTTGTTAGCATCCTCAAGAACAAGAAGTCAAGGGAAAACTAAACAATAAAAAAAAAAGCCCTTATTTTTAAAAGTGTCATTGTGTCTGAATAGATCCACATGGCTGTTGTCTTAAACAGCATGACTGGAGTGAATGTGTGGCTGCCTGTATGCCTTGGTGCTGCAGAAGAGATTTGCATCTGCAACTGATGATGGCACTGGAGCCTCAGTAACTGTTCAGGGAATGGAGTTTTTCTTGAAACAAAGACACCATCCCTGTCTAAGGAAAACCCTGAGCTGAAAAATACAGAGAAAATAAGAGAAAATATGATAGGAAACTGTTGTTATCACTTAAACTCTTCCCTAAAGCTCCCCAAAACCAACAGAGCCCCGCTGTAAGGTGAGCAGCTCTTCTCTTTGAATTTCTGCAGTACTTTATATTTTAATAAGTTAATTAATTAACTTCTGTGGGAGTGTGCTCACCTCCCTCTCCTCCACTTCCCCTCCATCCTGACCTTTACTTCTTGTAATCCTGATTAAGTGATAACCACTATCAACAGTCATATTAGATGTGTCTTGACCAGCATCTGACTCAAAGTCGATTCAGAGCAGACAGATAACAACATGAAAGACAAGATAATATGAAAGACTGATTTTAACAGTTCATCCACCTACTCATAGTATTGGTTAAGATTCAACTCAAGTCAACATTGGTTGAAGCTAATATTTGAAGACAGCATGCATTTATGTCTTTAAGTGTCACAACTTTCCCTTTAAATAGTGGATAGCCCACAGCCTGTTGAGCTCTCCTGCACAGCAATGGGCATCTCTCAAGTAAGGACAGTAATCTTAACTTCTGAAGATTACTCCTCAAGGATGAGAGAGTATTCACCTCACCAGATACTTGATAAGTGAATTGGAAATTAATACACTGAAAATTTTAAATCTCAGTTAAATGATACAAAGGATTGATTGTGCACATACAATCCTTTAGATATAAACTGTTGACCAGGTCTGGGACTAAGTCTGAATCCAGAAGCAATTATACTTGCAGGGGCTCTGAGAATCATTTTAGAATGCAAGGGGAGCATTTTTAACTCTCATGACCCAATTAAAATGTCTTCCTCACAGTTCTGTCTGACTCTGTTCTCTGTGAAGTAATCAAGTGCTCATTGCTGTCTACTCCTGTTAAACCCCTTTCACATTTATTATCAAACTTTGCTGGATTTCTGTTTTATGTCAATAAACATAACTACTTTCTTATGAGTGAAGGATATTACTTTTAAATGATGTTGTCCATGACAACTTGATATAATTTTTTGCTAGTTGCAAAAGAATCCCACTACTCACAATATTACAGAAAGACTCCAAACAAGAGGGAAGAGGAATGGATTTAAAACCCAATGTTAAATTACATTACATGTACATTTATCCTACTCTTGATAAGCACTAGCTTTTTGCATCCTCTATGCATGTATGGCTGTGGCATTCACATTCTCTGAAAAATCCTTCGCCCAGGATTTTTCTCCTGGGAAGCTGAGAAGCCTCAGAGGAAAGAAAAACAATAATTATCTCATTTGCTTCTCCTGGGTGGAAAGTGTTTGGAGTTTGTTTACCCACAGGTGATTGTTTCATTCGATTCTGGGGTGAGTTGTTTTGACTCTTCAGCCAATTGGTGCCAAGCTGTGTTGGAGCTCTGGAAAGAGTCTCGAGTTTTTCATTATTATCTTTTTAGCATTCAGTAAGTATTCTCTCTATATTCGTTAGTATAGTTTAGTATAGTCTCTTTAATATAACATAATATTGTAAAGTAATAAATTAGCCTTCTGAGAACGTGGAGTCAGATGCATTATTCCTGCCTTATTCCAGCAGTTGGGGCATTCCCTGTAAATACAGTATGTGGTCATACTCATTTACTAATCTTCAAGCTTAGCCTATGTTTATATTATTAGGAAGAGATTACAGCCTAAATCCATAGCATCAGCTGGGACCTGGGAGATCATGAGTGTTCATGACCTTTAGTGTTGACTCATTTGTGTCACCCAGCGTGGATGTCTGTACTAGTCCCCCACAGTACTCCTGTGAATCTTCCATCTCCCCTGTCTCCAAAACCTGCAGGGCATGCATTTGTACTGCTCTGCACCTTCTGCTCTTCCATGTGCCACGTGCCAGACTGTCTGCACCTGGTTGTCTGCCTGTTGTGCTGCTGGGTGGGCTATGCATGGGTAATTGTCTGCCCTAGGATGGTCTAGGACTTGTACACAAATGAACGAGGGGACCTTCCCAAGACCTGAATGTTCTTTGTACTGAGATGAAACATTTCTTTCATGGGCCTCTCAAAGTACCTCTTCTGAAGTGGCTAAATGAACCAGCAGTCAGCTACAAGAGAAATGGGAGCGGTCTTCTGAGACAAAAGGAAGAACCAGGGAGATTTTTGTAGAGAAAAGGAAGCAAAGAGTCTCCTGGGTAAGCAGAACTTCCCAAGAAGTGGAGACTGTTGCTATTTAAACAGTTTTCTTATTTTCCTTGATAAATGCATATTTATAACCTGATTAACACATATAAAAATAACAGAGCTTGAAAAACAGACCATTTCAGGGACTTAGTGATACATATCATGCATACATGCCTGTCTGATGGGAAGGGGCAGGATAAGCAGCCATTGCTGCTACAGGCAGACATTATTGAAATTATGACTCATTTTCCACCTCTTGTGTTTTCCCTTTAGATTTGTTCTGCCTGTTAGTGTACCATATTGCATGTCCTAAAATGCAACTGCAATTGGTGTTGTATCCCACAACATCCTTCTCTCCAAATAGGATAGTGATGGATTTGGTGGGTAAACCATGATGTGGATTGGGAAGTGGTTGCATGGTTGCATCCAGAGGGTAGTGGACAGTGGTTCAGAATTCCAGTGGACATCAGTGACAAGATGTGTCCATCAGGGGTCCATAGTGGGTGTGATCAATGTTATTTAGTATCTTCAGTAATGACTTAGCGGTGTCAAGTGCACCCTCTGTGAATTTGCAGATGACCCCAGGCTGAGCAGTGCCTGCAGGGTGGAATGCCATCCTGAGAGACCTGGACAGGCTCCAGAGGTGGACCACAGGAACCTCAACCTGAACCTCTGAACCAGGGTCAGAGCAACCCAGGGTCAGCCTGGGGATGAACAGATCCCAGCAGCCCTGCCCAGAAGGAACTGGGGGTGCTGGTGGCTGAGAGGCTGGACCTGCCCCAGCCATGGGCACTGCCAGCCCAGAGAGCCACACGTGTCCTGGGCTGCATCCAGAGCAGGGTGGGCAGCAGGGCAGGGAGGGGATTCTGCCCCTCTGCTCTGCTCTGCTCTGCTGAGACCCCACCTGCAGGGCTGCATCAGCTCTGGGGCTGTTACTGAGCAGTCCTGTAAGATGACATCTATGCAGAAGTGGAGGAAGATGCTGGAAATTCTCTTAAATTTAGCACAATAGAGCATGACCTCTATATTTATTGTTAGTGCTTAATTTTGTACACACAGTGCTTAGTACAGATACCAGAGATTAATGTGGCCTTGTGCTAGCTCCCTACATCTGTGACTAATAAACTTGTTCCAGTTAATTCTTTCTTGTTTACTTCTATCAGTGATTTAATATGTACTAACTAATAGCTTTGAGAACAAGAATTGTTTATCAGAGCAAAGAATCATAAGAGAAGTACATTATGACCTGATGACGTATTTGAGATAATCCCAAGGAGAAAAGATTGTCAGAAGATCTGGAACCATATCCAAACAAATGGAAATAATCAGCATAAATGCATGTTTTCAGGAAACATGAAAATACAATAGTTTTAGGAATATAACCAGGTCTCTGAGGTTACTGGGCATGTATGTTTTGAAGAGAATTATCCATGCATTCAGCACTGCTAATGAAACAATGTTGGCTTCCTAGTCTAACAAATATGATGGAGAGTTTATTTCCCAATTTTCAGGGACAGGGTCCCCAGCACAGGCAGGACATGGACCTGTTGGAATGAATTCAGGGGAGGGCCACAAAATCAGTGGGATGGAGTACCTCTCCTGTGAGGAAAGGCTGAGAGAATTGGGATTGTTCAGTCTAGAAAAGAGAAGGCTTTGTGGCAGAGTTATTCTTGCCTTCCAGTACCTCAAGAGAACTTCCAGGAAAGATGGGACAAGACTATTCACAAAAGCATGTAGTGACAAGACAAGGGGCTATGGGTGTAGACAGAAAGACAGTAGGTTTCGATTAGGTATTAGGACTAAGTTCTTCACTGTGAGGGTGGTGAGGCGCTGGAACAGGGAAGTTGTGGGTGTTCCATCTCTGGAAGTGTTCAAGGCCAGTTTGCATGGGGCATCCTGGTCTACTAGAGTGTGGCCCTGCACATGGCAGGGCTGGTTGGAACCTTCCAACCCAAACCATTCTATGGCTGTATTGCAGGGAAATTATTTCACTTCTTTTCGAAGAAGAAAATCTGGAATACTTAAACTAACTGAAAGTATGTAAAGTATGAATTATTACCTTAAAAAACAAAGCAACCTGATCTCTAATCTGTTTGAAAAGGTAATGATACCAGCTAAAAGAGCAATATTGTAAATCACTGAAAGTGTGATGTGGGTCTGTGTTTACATGGCATTTCTGATATTCAGCTTTTGCATCACTGGAAGTTGTAGTGTCTCACTGGTAGGTTAATGAACCAGATAACACGCTATTCTATTTTACTTTGGTTAAAGCTACTATTCCTTCTTTCCCAAACATTTCATGATTTGTTAGAACCAAACAAAGGTGCCTTAGTGGGATCTGCCTACAAAATGACTCCTTGCTATGCCACCTTGCAATCCTTGTGCTGCATATAATATGTGCAGCTGACCTGATATTGGAGCACCTTATAGTCTCATGAGATTGTCATCTGGAAGTACTCACCACTGTCCATGGAGCAGATTCTGTGAGTGCCTCTCTGTATCTCAGCTCATATGGTGTATGAGCTGTGGGCAGGTCCCACTTCATTATCAATTGGTTTGTGATCTGATAAGCATTTATGTTAGATGGTGACAAGCACTTTCCTAAAATGGGGGAGATGCAGTTGTTTAAAACACAAGAGAAGCAGGAAAGCTTTGGTAATTACATCTGTTGAGTGTGGTCTATAAAAGTTAAAAGACTTGGCACACAATAGTGAATGCTGTGAGACTTCAAAACACCATGGAAATGAATTACTAAATCTCTATGACATCAACAAAATGCAATTGTTCCTCTTGCCTTTCTTTTGTGAATGCTTCTACTGATTTCAAGAACACTCTTTTTCTAAGCAGTAACTATTCTGAGTGGCGCTGAAAGGCAAAATCAAAATGTCAAGAGTACCTGTAATCATGAGTTATATAAAAATATCCAGAATATCTTTAAATTTCGGTAAGTGCAAATAAACACAATGTGTCCAAAAGTCTTCAGTAAAGGTTATACAATTGATAATTTGGGTTGTACTAGTAGTAACTCCCAGGAGAGAAGCATTGGTTTTTCTTGGACCATGATTAGTCTGAGCATGTGAAGTTTTGAGAAGCTCTTAACATCAGTTCAGTGACCAGATAGGTAGGGAATCTTGAAATCAACATTTAAAGGGCCTAATAAATAGGGCTGGTTTTTTTCATATCTTTCTTTTAGCATTGTGTAATGGGTAAGAGGCCTTAGAAAAGAGTTGAATTTTGAAAAAGTTTCTCAAAATTCTAATGCCCTATAACAAAGATTCCTTTGTTATAAGGCATTAGTGTGACTCAACACAGTGTTGAGTCAATCTGCTCTTTGTAAACCAATACAAAGAAATCCAGAAAACCATCAAGGAGAGCATAGAAAGTTGGTTAAGTATGGTACACAAATACTACAATATATTTTTCTGTATATGGATATTAAATATTCCAGCAAAATGTTTAAAGTAAAACCCTCCTCCATTAAAACATCACAGGCTTCTGTTACTAACTTCATTCAAGGAAGTCAAACTGCATCTTAGCTCTCTGAATCAGTAAAAATAACAGGAGTGTTTTGGGAGCTGAAATTTTGGAAGTAATCTTTACAGAATACAGCTTTAGCTGGGCACTGCAGTAACACAGCTTGTGAAGACACTGTACCTGCTTTGCTTGGTAAAACTGAGATGTTCCTTCCTTTGGCACAGGTGTTATTGTCATAATTCACTGCTATCCAAATGGTTGCAAATCTCTCAATGTAGAGATTCTTTCGCTCTATTGTGATGGAAGGTGATGATGTGTTTCGCTGAAAAAGTTTTCGTATTTTGTTCCTTCAGAGAAAAGGAAGCACAATGAAAAACATTATATTGGATTACAGTTATTTTTTCCTCCATGCCCAAGAAAGCAAAATTATAGTAATTGATAGCTTTCCAGATACTTCTATGCATAATTCCACATCTGGAAATCTCAAAGGTTCACACTGAGCAGCTTGAAACAGCAAGATTAATTCATGCACCTCAGTAACCCTAGTGAATTCAAATGTGCAAATCCTTGTGTGGTGGAGAACTGTTGAATTCCTTAATCTTTTAAGGCATAGCATGATACAACCAGATCTGTATGACCTTCTTTTGTACTTACAGTGGGATATAGAGAGCATTTTGAAGGTATAAAATTAGGTTAGAAATGACTTCGAAAAGCCTCACCTCATAAAAGGGAAACTCAAATTCCTTTTGAACAGCAAAATTTCCCAGTTACATGAATATAAATTGCCATAGAGTTATAAAAAGCTTCTTATGAGTTATGTGCCTGTCTTCTGACTTCTGTTCCTGCAAATTGTCAGAGGTTGATGGAGATATTTAAATGTCCGCTGAGTCCTCAGCCCTGTAGATTCCTCCTGGTATACCTGACATACACAGCACGGGAAGTCCAAGAGTTTTAACGCCTTGCATACAATTTTGCTGCCAACATTTTTCTAGTCTCTCTCATTTAGTCTCTGCCACACACAGGGAAGATTTTTCCAAGGTTGAAATTGTGCAAGTTCAGTGTTCTTAAAGAGAGGGACTAGCATACTAATTGCCTAGCTATGCATTTCAAGTATTAAATTACACACATCATGATTCAATATTTAGTACCTGAGAAAAACTATTTGAAGGTTTTCCTGTCTTCTGCTTCAAGCTAGTTGTGAATCAGCCATTAAAATTTCAAAGCATGATTTTGAATTCTTGGTTGGAACTTTTCTGTGGGAGTGTTTATCTTTAATCTTTTTCTTCCTGACAACTTAATCACAAGGAGTAAGGACAAGGAACTATTACAGCGTCAAACTGATGTTACATGCAGGAAGAGGTGATACCCTCTTCTAGGCAAAGTAAAAGCCTTTTACATGTGGGGTTTTTTTCTTTCCTTTTAACCCAATAGAGGAGGAGATAGTAAGTTTGTCTTCAAGACCACCGGGTGGAAACTTAGGAGACTGAGGTTAAAGTCCTGACTCTGACTTGGAAACATCACCACCTCTGCCAGGGAATTGTCTCCCTCTTCCCCCACTGACATCTTCTTTCATTCTTTAATCTGCCTCGTCTGTTCATGACATCAACCCTGCAGCCTGGGAACAGCACAGTCTGGTTTTGGCTTATGACTTTGAGAGCAAGTAGCGTAAAAATATTTCAACTGATAACATCTCTTCAGAAACAGAGCTGTTTCATAAATGTTTCTGTCCTTCCAAAAATTTGGTATTCCTTGAAGTTACAAGAGTCAAGACAGCCATGCAGTAGAATTAGGGGCTTATTGCAAATTGGTGCCTGCAGCTACCTCCAGTGAGAAAATATCGAAGGTGATGGGGGGAGTAATCTCAGCCTTGAGGTGGTTGCTTTGCTCCTGTGCAATGTGAGCATGATCATCCTGGGGAATTTCCCAGTGTGGTGACATTTTCTTAGCTTTAGGAGATGTTTCTAACCACAGCTCATTTTGAATGACAAGGGGTGGTTATGTGGCCAAACAATCAGCAATGAATATCAGAATTTGCCTATGGCAGACAGTGTTGCACTCCATGTACCCCATGATATGGTCTCATGGCAAAGATCATGTCTTCTCATCTCACGTTTCTATTTCTGAACATGCCCCTAATCTCATGGGAGATTCCAAATATCTAGATATAAAATGAGGAAATTCAGTTTTGTAATGCAGCTGCAACTGAAGATACTGTATTTGAGGTAATCAGTTCAAAATTAACCCTACAAGTTCATTCCATCTGTTAAACCACTACTTGATAATTCAGAATCACCAGAAAGTATGCTACATCTGATATCTCCTTGGGTACATGGTATATCAAAATACATAATACATAAAATAAAAGTTTAGTGTCTGTTTATGTTTAAATATTTTGTTTTTTTTTTTTTCCTTAAATACCACTATGTTGAATAGTCAGTAAAAGTCAATAGCTGCAAATAAATGTAATTAAGTAAGCTGATATTTGGCAATAATGATTTAAAGAGTGTGTTGGAGGCATGGTAAGATGTATAATGACTTTGTATTGGGTTTACATGACAAGGTTTTGGGAGCAGATTGCTACAGAGGTGGCCTCCATGAGTAGCGGCAATAAGCCTTTCCCACGAACAACGAAGCCAGCTCTAGCTGACTCAGGACAGAGCTGCTGCTGGCCAAGGCTGAGCCCATCATCCATGGTGGTAGTGCCTCTGGGATAACGCATTTAAAAGAGGGAAAAAACGGCTGCACAACAGCAGCTGGCAGAGAGGAATGAGGGCAAGTGGGAGCAGCAGAGAGCAGCCCACGCTGCAGCAGGTTTGCAGGGCTTGTGAACCCATGGGGGAGGGAGCTGCTTTGGAGCAGGCTGCTCTTGAAGGGCTGGCACCCCATGGAAGCAACCTTCACTGGAGCAGTTAATGCAGAAATGCGGCCCTGTGGGAAGCACTCGTGTTGGAGGAGTTAATGATGGACTGTGGGAGTTCGTGTCTCCTGAGGGAGGATTCCCATGCTGCACCAGAGGAAGAGTCAGAAGAGAAAAGAAGTGACGGACACAACATATGATGGACTGTCCACAATCCCATTTCCCATCCCCCCACAATGCTGGAGTGGAGGAGGCAGAAAATTCAATTAAGCCCAGTAAGAAGAAAAGAATGGGGGGGGGGGGGCAGAGAAGGGGAGGGTGTTCCAAGTTCTAGCTGTATTTCTCATTAGTCTACTCTGATTTGAATGTTAATAAATTTAATTCATTTTCCCAGGTCAGGTCTGTTTTGCCCATGACAGTAATAGCTGAGATCTCTTCCTGTTCTTATTTCAGCCCATGATCTTTTATCATATTTTCTCTGCCCTGTTGGGCTGAGGAGGGGAGGTATAGAACCGTTTTTGTGATGTCTAGCCAGAAACAACCTACCACTCTCTTACAAAGCCCTTACAAATCAATAGGTATTGATGAGAAGTGATAAATGGTATTGACCAGCCTTGTGTAACAACCTCTAAAGTGATGAAATACACTGGAACAAAACTCTGGCAAATGGGAACCACATCTAACAACAATAAGAGCTTTTGGTTTTCTGAGATAACTTTTCAGACTTACCATTTTAGGTATACAGTATAATTAACTGTATTTGCAGCACTAGGTACTGGCAGCCAGGTGCAGGTTAGATCCTCACTTAATTCCTTGTAACACACCAATTCATTGTCCCAATCTGAAAGATGAAAACATATGCACTGGAAAAGACCCGTCACAGCAACCATTAACTGACTCAAAGGGACTATGAGTAATGAAACCAAATACAAACCAGGCTAGAGTTAGCTGACTAGACCCCAGAATTGCTTCAAAACCACCAATCTCTATCTGACGTTCAGAACTACGCACTGTTGCTGGATAAAAACAATATTACTTTTAAACTGCCAGCATTATAAAGAATGCATTGTAAAACAGAAGGAGCAAAAGTTTATGTATAAAATTGCCATTTAATTTTTTATATGGGGATTTTTTTTTGCAACTGAACATACCCTTTTTTCAGTTGATGTGAAAATAAGCACTGATGACGTTATTAAAGGAACTAAATTTTTGTCTTTAGCAATTAAATTTATGTCAGTATTTCAAAAATCTCTTAACAAAAATGCTAATGACAAAATATGACTGCTGTTCTTCTTTTGCTCTGTGTCTTACTGTCTGAACTATTAATTCAGCAGAATCAGTCATGGTGTCTCAAAGTCATTGGAAAAGGACTCAGATTTTGTTGTTGTTGAGAAAAGTAATCTCAACAGGAATGGGATCCTTAAGGTAATTTTTTCCTGATGAGTAGAGCCACATGTCCTTCCTACCTGTTAGGTCAAACAATAGGCCTATCAATCTTGAATAAAAAATGTTTTGCTATGTGATAAGTAAATATGAGTATGTCTGGAGCTGGTGTTGTAGCATAGTTATGGTATCTCACAACCTAGGTTGTGAGTTAAAAGATCAGTTCTCTTTTCCTCATTTCTTCCTGCAACCTGAGTTACAAAGTATCCTTGGCATTCTTTTAATCATTGAGATGACAAATGCATATTGAAGTTAAAAGGTGTTTTGGAAAAAGAAGTGAGTATAGTGCTGACTTTAATACCCTCACCTTATGACACTTCTTTTCTCATACTAAATGAATAATGCTCTTCTAATAAACTTTGCTGCATCAGCTCAGGTGTGTAGAGGTGCCTTTCGGGAAGGTGGAGATCACATCTTCCTTATTTTCATAGCAATGTGAAACATTACAGAATTCTTTGCTTTTCTAGTCTGGCCACCAAACCACGTCTTGGCCTCCTCACCCATGAACATAGTCTGTCAACAGCAGGGGAAACAGCAACAGCTCTCACATTCTTATCCTGTTTTACTCTGAATTAAACCTTAAAATTACTTGGTGTTTATTGTTGTTTTGAAGAAACACCTAGAACAAAATCTTTTTGGAATTGCTGTAATACTTCATGTCAATACATTGGTAACATTCTGCTCCTGACACTATTTGAAATAAGAGTTCTATTAACTCAGATCCACATGGTGTCTACCATATTGCAGACCTGTCTCTGCTTATGCAGGAACAGTGGTTGTTCCTCATGTTCTAAGTTTTGTGAAATCACCCATGTCTTTCTCTACGAGATTATAGTGCTAAAGCAGACAAAAGAAAAATAGTAGATTTCATGTGTGGAAATAGTGTGTTAGCTTGGCGAACACCCCAAAGCATCCTCCTACTACCAATATACGGAAGTTCTACATTGCTTTGTCCAGATGAATATAATGAATGCACATTTTTATTTTCACTTTTCCTGTTTGTGAATATTATGCACATGCACATTAATTTTTATTCTAGTGCTTTCTTTGTTCCACTGCAGTGCTCCACCTTAATAGGTATATTATTAATTCTTCCCAGATCTAGCATAGTACCAGAGATGTATCATGACTGTGCTCCAAGAGCTATGCAAAGAAAGAAAAATATTTCTTTGCTCTAAAGAAAACGCTGTTCAGTTTCTCCACTTAAAAAAAACCTCAAACCAGCAAACAAATGCCAAACCACCTACCTTTAATTTTTTTCTCTCTAGAACTTTCTGTTTTTTCTTCCTGAGCATCTGGTTTTCTCCCTAATGATTTAGTAGAGCTTAATCTGGCAAGTTAATTGCAAGGACTGGAAAATTATCCATGGCTAATTTCAGAAGAACATAGTCCTCCTGCAGATGTCTTGCCCAGTGTCTCTGTGTACTCAGGAACCTATCATCTCTGCTGGGTCTGTTAGCAAGCAGGATGTTCCTGCCCACAATAAATCCAGCACAAAGTACATCAGATGACCACCCACTGCTCCGCAATACTCTCTATCAAAATGTGCTGTACTGTTCCTTCCCGCCATCATCAGTAATTCCCCAGTTAAATGGAAAGCAGAGATATCCATCACACACAAACGTTAGCGGATCCGTGGTACTTGGGAACGGCAGCTATCTGTGATGCTCGGGCTGGGCTTTCACCCACAGCCTGCGGGCTCGCCCTGCGCTCACAGACGCGCCTGCCCGTGCTGCTGAGCCCGGGCTTTCCCTGGCACAGGCGGGAATGCTTCCAGCGGCGCCGCTCCCGAGCGCCCGCGGCGTTCCACCCACCTGTCAGCTGCCGGCAGAACGGAGAGTCCCGCGCTGAGCAGCGGCAGGAGCCTGGGCAGCGCAGGGAGCAGGTTGCGGGGGGAAGAATGAAAAAAGAAAAAGAAAAAAAAAAAACAGTTGGTCAAGACAACCGCAAAAGAAATAGGAAAAATGTTGCAGGTGGTTGCTTCTCCCACTCACAGAATTTAATCTGGTCATGATTTAGTTCGTATATCCTCATCCTTGAGTAGCATTAAGGATTTTTATGGTTCATAAGCGGCAGTAAGCTGTATGGTATATGAAAACTCACCTCTAACAAGTAAAAAGATAGCTGCCAGCAGAGAGTTCTTCATCTTCTCTGTAAAGAAGCATAATGATTACTATCAACATTACGCTGTCTTTAGTCTATTTTCACACTTCCTTTTCAAACTTCCTATTCATTCTAACACCAATCCTGCTACAGGCAAAACACAAGTAGCAAGCTTATCGATGACAATGGGAAGAACACTTGAGTTCTGTGTTATTAATTATACTTACAAGAGCCTAAAAATCCTTCTGGAAAACAGGAACTCTCCACCCTGGTTTTTGTAAGCAGTCACAGCGAGATTCTTGATGGTGTCTGCACTATCAGCAAAGCAAACTGAATTAAGCTTAGGTACTTCTAACTCTTTGAAAACACCAACTGTCACTGCAAATTAGAGATATTCATATCAGTAAAAAGGAAGTCAAGGTGTTTGACTGAGTCTAATATGAATTCTTATATACTGTAGAAATAATAGCAGCAGAAGACCTCAGCTTGTCTTCACTTTCTGACTTCTCTTATCTTTCAATGTAATTTCCCTACCTCAAAGATGCTGTATCTACATTGTTGGTACCTACACCAGGGCCCTAATACAGACAAAAGTCACCATAGCTGTAAATCAGATGGTTGCTCCACACCATTAATTCAGAGAACATTCTGAACACAGAAGCCAGCAGAGACATAACAGCTGTTACTCTTACAGCAGTAAAGGGAAATTCTCAGAAAATTTTTCTACTGTGGAAAATTTCCCTTCTGGGCTTAGACAGCTGCTATCAGAGATTGGATCCAGACTTACCTGGAGATAGGCAAATTATTAACTTATCTTGGCAACCATGGTAAATTTCAGGTTGAGTATTGAATAGAAAAAAATAGCAGTTTAAAATTAATCACTTTCCTAAGAGAGAGGCATGCTTCTCAGCATGGTCTGCAGTAGGAGCAGGTGACTAATGCAACAATCATGTCTTATCAGATTTTATGAAGGGCACAGTCATGAAAGGCAAGTGATCAAGGAATTCTGAGTGCTACAGGGGGCTTCCTGTCATGAATTCATTGGTCTTGAGTGTAAGCTCCAAAATGCTGGGGGGTAGCAGATACAATGTATGCCTGCAGGATCACAGCCCCTGTTATCTGAGAGATCCAAAATTTGGCCTTAGCAATACTTCCAACAAGGAATAGCAAGAGGATACTGATGATCATCATTTGAGCGTCAATTGATGATCATAAGGAGAAACTGATCAAGTAAAAATGCAAGTTATATGTGACAGATTTTGACAGTGGGATTGAAGATCTAGAGACTCAGAATAGCGTAAAAGTCAAGAGATTGAGAAAACTTTAACAGATATCTGTATTGGTTTGATGTTCTCAGCATAATCACATTCAAAACAACCTATCCTAAACGAAAACCATGTAAGTAACTCAATGCAAGAGCGGAATTAGGACAGAGCATATTGGAGAGAAATAAACCAAATGAAATAAATCCATATCATCTTTGCTGGAAGTCTAGGTCTCAGTATAAATGCCACTCTCATTTGAAGAAAAAAAGTTAATTCTGACAAGCACAGAAATTACATTATTTGTCCAAATAGCAGAGGAGATACAATCTTGAAAACTGGAATTTCACATTTGGGTGAGGCCAAATTTTTTGCTGCAGCTTAGCTATTGAGTTACTACATGTCTAAATTATAGCAAAAGATAAATTATATTATTTGAGGTAAAATTTGCATAGAACCACTTTTTCAAATGTCTAACATATCAGCTTTTTCGCTACTATGAACTTCTGTCAGAATGGTAAATGCCTGAAGTTTTCCTGTTAATTCAGATGAGGATAAATTACGCCATCGTCTGTGATGTGTTTTGAAGTGCAGAATGACTGCAGGATACTTCCAGCTTTACATCACTTTCGCCTCGCTGTTTTTTCAGACCTAGGTGTGTGCATCATTCTAGATGAGGTTCTCCATGAGCACTTCCCTTGTCATTTCCTTATATAAGTTTTGCAGTAGAAGACAGGGCAGGCTCTTGTTCTCCCCAGAATGTAGACTTGAAATCAATGAACCTTTCCGTCTAGACTGGAGTAGACCATGTTAATTAATCCAAACTCCATGTCCTTCTCTGTTCCCTTCCTCAAGATGATCTGTTAACTCTTGCTCTTCAAAGGGAAAACAATCTCTGAAGACAGGCAGGCTCAGCCAGGAAAATGCCACGGGCCCCTTCCTCCTGCTCTGCTCCCGTGGAGCTGCATCTCCTGTAGCACATCACGGCAGGGCTGGCCAAGCCATGAACTCCTGAGTGCATGTCTTGCAGGTCAACCATGTGCCCGGGGATGCTAATGAACCAGAAAGAGTCTGAAATCTTGTTTGTTGGGAGTTTTAAGCACGTCCCAAGACAGTTTGTGCAATGTGTAAGCAGCAACCTTGTCGAAGTGCATTCAGGTCCTGATTGGCAGCCGAAGCAGAATGCAGACTGCAGAGATGCCGCACCAGCAAAGACATACTGCATTTCTACTCAAACTCTCACCTTGTCTCAAGTACAAACTGGTGAGGTCTCCTGGTTGAATCAGAATGTGGTTTTGGTAGCTTGCTGTTTCTTTGATAAGCAGCCCCAATTGACTAGAGATGATCTCTTTCAGGCATGTTGTAGCAAATTCAATGTTGTAGCAATTTCAAATGCAGTTTTTGCTGCTTAGTAGTACATGCTGAGATTGCGTATCTTTCTTTAATGGATCTAGAGTCAAACAATTTTTACAAGTTACTTCTCATATACCTGCATCCAATAGGCAGACCTTCATGTCTCTAAATATCTGACAGATTTTTACAGATTAGCTTTGTTTTCCAGAGAAATACATAAATATCTGAATTCAGTGAGCAAATCTCATACGATCTTTGGGGAAAGAAAAACTCCACTCAGCCCTCAGCTATACCTCCTGGGGGAAATTTGTTGTATTAGGGAGAGTCTCCACCATGAACATTTTCATCTTGTCTGAGTTCAAGTTACAGTATGAAACAGCTTACTTTTCGAACAATTCTGTATTATCTTAATGAAAACCACATTTTTTTTACCCTAACACATCAGCTAGGCAGAGGCCATAAAAAAGTGCCAATGAGAGATCTGCCTTGGAGATTTCAAAACTTCCAGTTACTGATGAATCATAAATAGCCTGAATAGACTAGACACCCAACACAGAATGCAAAAAGATCACAGAGATATATATTGGGGTGAAGATTCCTTTGGGATATTATATGTTGGGGTATTATACACTGGGGTGAGGATTCCTTGGAAGAAACAAAAAAATAATTAAGACAAATATAAGCTAAATTCTGCTTATATAGACTAGGTCTGGAGTCTCACCAATACCACATCATTGACAGTGATGTGGTGCAGGGTTTTGCCCAGTGCATCAGCTAGAGTATTTATGAGAGTCAGGGTGGTGTGTTGGGATGAGACTGGCAACTTCTCCTTACTACAGCATCACAGTCAGTGCTACAGGCTTGCTTTGGGATGGACAAAACTATCCCTGCGGCAGCTCAGACCAGTGCTTTGAAAACAGAGTTCACTTACATGGTGGCTGAGCTGTGTGCAGAACCAGAGTCTTAAGTATAAGGGTTTGACTTGCAAGGAAGACCTTTGCTTCTGCTAGCCCACCTTGGAGCACATCTTGTTCATCAGTTTTAGTAGCCTCTGACTGCTGTGAGAATACAGTGTGAGAGTCTGCTTCAATTTACATTCATTATCTCTTCCTGGGCAGCCAAGAGGAGAAACAAGGATCATCTTTTACTTTATCCATCACATTTATGACTTTATTAAATGCTTTATAAGTACTTTAAGTGCACAAGTGGATGACAAAGAATGTCTTTCCTAGTCTTTCCTACTATCCTGTTTGGTTTACCTAGTGGGCTTGCAACTGCTACAGGGAGTTACTTTGGCATATGTGATGTGGAACCAAAGGGAATTTCATAAAAGCTTGTCTGTGCTCTTCCTATACACAGTTTTGGGAGCAGTCTTTATCTTTTTGAAGTCTGCAGGGAAGGCTGGATTGTTTGTTTTTATGTGGTTTTTTTCGGCTTTTTTTTTTTTTTTTTTAGATGCCAGTGTTTTAATCTCTGAGGCAAGGAGATGTATATCTTTGTTATCTTTCTTTTTCATTTTCCCCCCTGGGATTACTCCTGGACAAAGGAATGCTTGCCAGTGAAACACAACTATTGTCAAAAGCATGTTTGAAGAAAGTCCAGGAGAGCAGTATAAAGAAGCTCACCTAGCACAAGGCAAAATGTGATATTTTTAAGGGTAGTGTTCTGTGTTCATGGTATTTTATCCTACCATTTCCACCTTAGTAACAATGAATGTATTTGCACTGCTAGTTTCAGATTTTCTGCATTATAATTTTTGTCTCAGAATTTTATCTAGCATAACTGGTCTGCCAAGTCATTAGCTTGTCTTATTTTAAATGTTTTCAAGCATATTTCCTGGCTTAGAAAAAAATGATTTATAAATGAGAGTTCTGAGAGTCTGCATGTATACCCACTTGTGACTTTACTGCTCTTGACCATTTTAATTTTTTCTTCAGCTATTATTATGCACTAGATAACCCAGGGGAAAATTTTTTTGAGGCATCATTCCATTATCTATCAAAAATTGTTTCAGTCATCTTAAAATAATTCACAAATAGCTATTAGTTGTTTATGTGTAGAATAGAAAGGCAGGGAGGGGCTAGATTTGCCAAGCTGAAATAACAGTGTCATGATTCTCATTAATCCCTGTGTCTCCTAGAGTTCTGTGATTCCAATGATTCCTCAGAATGTGGGATGCCTTAAACTTGGTTTGACTAGGAGGACCTTGCTCATGAGACTGACCACTGTTCTTTAGGACATCCTGGCATGGCCTGTTTTGAACCCCCCATTAAGATTATTCTTGCTTTATATCAACAACAATTGATATACAGAAGTCCCTTGAATGAGGATTTATATCTTGTGAGCCACATCTCGTTGAAGCTTTTTAAACTATTAATCTGAAGTATCACATCACAGCAAGAGCCTCCAATGACTGCTCCTATGCAAAACATGTAACTATCCTAGTAGTGAAGGTACACTTTTAACAGCTGAGAAATTCTGATTTATGGTTTGCCTGCATAAGATCTGAGCTAAACATCTTTGCATCTGCAAATTTTCATTTGCCTGCCTGTGGATTACTTGC